ATGGAAAATGGCGTCAGAATTCCGATGACCAAATTCCGGAAACCCAGACTAAGAGAAAGAAAGCGAGGAAACCGAAAATTAGGGTAAGTTTACTCATTTTAATCCTACAGGAAATCGGAGCACGACGTTAAATTACGTGTAGCCTGTCACCCTGTGTAAGCTGCATGTGCTTTGTACAGTTTAATTATGTACTTATTTAATTTTATTACTTGCAGACTAAAGTAAATCAACATGCGGTTTATAGCGTTAGTATCCGTACACTTTACACGTGTCGTCCATTATAATGAAATTACGTGCACAACTATCAAGGAACAAGATCTATAATATAACTACAAAAAAAGCTGAGACATCGAGATACGAAAAACCAGAACACAATAAAAAAAACTGTAAACGCCGTTAGATTCAGCTTGTTCAGAAACTGTGTCACATGCATTTTATTTTTTAAAAAAATTTATTTAAACCCCTCCCACCGATGCCGGTTCCCGGCAAAACTGGCTCCAGTAAAGCTTTCAAGGTGACCTTGAGAATAATAGCAGTGCCAGTTGCTTAGAACATTTATTAAAGTAAGAACTATGTACTGTAATAAATTTGTAATTATTTTCTTTGCAATCATGCTGAATTTTGATAGCGGGACTGCTGCAAATTGAATTACAATGTTCAAATGCCTAAAAAGGAAAATCTGATTTCCAGAACCATGTTTGAATTAGCCCAGGTTTCGAAGGGAACAAAATCCAGTGAACAAAACTGCTAGGAGAGTGAGTGACCCAGCTACCACCACTGTCCAGTGATCAAAACAAAATCGCTTGGGTGAGTGCTGACCCAGCAATAAATCACTGGGTAAACAAAATTGCTAGATGCATGAGTGACCGAACTACCACCACTGTCCAGTGAACAAAATTGCTAGATGAGTGGGGGACCGAGCTAGACTCCTTGCCCAAGAAGTTTTACAAAAAGTGCTAAGGCAGTTGGTGAATTGTTTACTAACAAAAAATTGGAATTATTTATTAAAGCGGACGTGGATCACAAGAAACGCGGAGGCGAAGCCGCAGCTGTTTCTTGTAAAATAATAAGCAGCAGCTTTCCGCGATTATGCATTACTCTAAAACAGCTGTACAAACTTATTGTAAAATCGCTGGTAAGGTTGCCAAATAAGGAACGTTCGTCACAATTATTTATTAGATACTAGCTGACAATCTACCACGTCTTGCAATTGTCTGTGGGGTAATTAAATACAGTGGCACTTGTAACAGACCTATCAGTCACTTGAATATACTGTAGATGACATCATCGATTCATTCAAGGCAATCGTTTTAGACGGACATGATAAAGGAATACCAGAAAACAACGATTTTTAATTCCATATTAGTGAAAGGATTAGTTTACACAAACGATGAAACGATTTGTGTAATGGGTACGATCCCCGATCAAGATAGCATAGAGGAAGTGTTTCTGTTATAAATGCTGCTTCGTTTTGGTACATAGTTTGTACTCGTTTCATGACACTTATTAAAGGTTAAACGACTGTTTACACAAAAAAGTACAATGATTTTCTTTAACAGCAAAGTTTTACTGATTTTTTCTCTGCTGTTCCCTTGTCCCGAGAAAGGATGTCACGTTTACGTTTTGAATATCCGGGGATCGGCGTTAATGAAACTTTTGCTCTGTGCATTCCGTTTCCTAGTTCTTTTACGGAGGCCATTATCGAGCTTGTTAGCCTTCCATGTATAATTACAATTTCTTCTGCTTGCACTGCAGCCAAAGCGGCGGTAGCAGAAATCGACACTGGCACCTTATCCACGCAAGGCACTTCCCGCGCAGTCACATCTTACGCCTCCATCAAAATACCGCGTGTAGCCGTTGGCAGCAGGAAGTGTGTGAGCCTCCTTGATCATCGTGGTTGTAATCCGGCGCCCACAGCAGGATACTGCTGAGTGTTGACCCCGTCTTGACGTGGGTGTTTGCCGGTTAGAAGAGACGTGAAAAGCTATGGTGATAAAAGCCTTAAAAACGCCGAAGAAGATGCAGTCACTGCCACTTATATGCGACTGCGCCATCGCCGTGAAAACCATACATATGCATATTGTCATGTTACATTGTCATAAAACTTCAAGTCGCTTACGAAGATCAGTTTTAAAGAAGGGAAAACGCAAATTTAAATTAATACAAACAAATTTGAGCTGACAATGAGTAGTGCAGCCGCACATGCGTGGGAATGCATATTTTTGACGTAGTGCAGTGGCTTCGGTGGCGTGGATAACTGTAAAGCGGTTTCGTCACTGATTTCTTTACGACGCAGTTGAGTCAGGCTTTTTTTGAAAGCTTTGTAAGCTTTGAAAGCTTTTTAAGTGCTTTGTAAAGGGTATACCCCGTTTAGCCGAATGAAGAAAAACCGAAAGAAAATCGGTCTGTGGAATTTTAAACGACGACAATCTCCCATTCACACATCATAGGGGGCACTTAAGCGACGTATAGAATACAGATACGACGGTGGCGCAGCGTTAGCCGACAGAGTGTCGTTGAGCCGTCGGCGCCAAGCCGAAACTGTCGCCTTCGAGAGGCTATGTCGTAAGCCATGACCAGACCTATTGTATTCGCCAGTCAGTGCTCTGTCTCAGTGACCCGGATCTAGTTTGACGACGTAATTGAGACTGACCAAATACATGACTGAATGCGTCCTGCCTTAATAAAACCCTGGCGCCCTTTTGTTAAAATCGTAATTACATTTACCCCGAAATCATTTCGGTTGTACATTCCGACTAAACAGGAAAACAATAGTTATTGTGTATGCACAGGATTCAGGACGGAACTTAATCTGGGTTTCACCGAATTGACCAATAGTGTGACACCAATGCTTCTTGAAAATATGTCGTAATCGCGATAACGCCATCAGCCAACGGCAATTTCTTGTTTTCCGATAGAACATTCCAGCTATAAAAGGCTGCTTTTTCTAGCCAGTAGTTTAGTGTAAAAATTTCGCCACATCAGCTCCACGAATATTTTTGGCTACATCAGATAAATTCCTTTTCGCAGTTATATTGACAAATAGTGCTACTTGTTTATATATACTAACTGTTAGCGTTGAAGGTCAGAGAACGCTTTTACGTTGCAGCACTCCACCAAGCAAATGTCTTCAACCTTGCTTCATAAAGCCTACACTCCCGACCCATCTTTTTCGGTGGCAACTGCATTGACTCCCAAAACACGGGCGAATGGCTTCGTGTATATCCATCAGCATCCTCGTGGTAACTGTTCTTCAAGCGCGCCGTACCAAAGTCCTAAGCAATCCGTACAGCAACAGACACCTGTGCGAAGTCCGCTCCAAGTGCAGCACACCGGTGGACAAACCGTTTTTTCCGTGAACACTGCTACAAACCCGGCATTTACCCCTAGTCCATCGTTGCACAACGGTCAATACCAAGACGGGCTCCTCCATTCGCAGAATTCAGTGCTTCCCGGACACATCTCGGTTATTCCTCAGCCGCAGACCGTGACACCCGACACTGCTGCCACGAATCCCACTGCCGGTTACACCGTGCCCTCCGCCACCCGGATCGTGTCTGGCCCGCTCTCCGACTGGTCGCAGCATTGTGGCTACGAGTTTTACTGCGCATTCTGCCTAGAAGCCTTACCAATAGAGCCAATGACAATAATTTCCGAAGGTGGTTACCAGCAGCATCTCAGGCAAAGCCGGTATTGTTATGGCAAGAATCTGCAGTTTCTACGCGTAATATTCGACAAGGGAGTGCAGGATACCGGCAATCCGCTGGCCAATGGGCAAGTGAAGCGCCAGTTGCTCTGTGTGCTGTGTAGAACGGCAATGCAGGCCAACCGGTACAGGATACCCACACCGGATCTTGTAGGTCAGTTTGGAGAAGCCATGCTCTTTGTCTTTAGTGAATTCTTATAGCTGTACATTCATGTACAAATTGGCATTTTGATCTGCAGCGCAACACATGCAGCGATACCATGCCGAACCAAGACCAAAGGACCAATCGCCTATCACTATTCAGTAGGCCGTACGGTTGCGTGGCCGTCCAAAAATACAGATCCGGTTAGACCCGGAAGTGTATAATCTCTCCAATCCACTATTCGGTGGTCTCAACTTGGCTTCAAACTGAACTGGACACTGCTGGAGAAAATTGACTTTGTTGTTGCAAACTCAATTTTTTACTCGAATGTTACTAGTATTTTAGCGAAGTACTTAGTACGGTAACGCTTTTGACAGTGATTTATTTGTTTATTTGTGAATTGTACCTTTATATCCGCTCTAAGGAAAGACCGTTCTTGACCATTTGGTAAAAAAACAGTAATTGTTCTCTGACCCGGATAAGGAGTTTCACTTAAACACTGCCAGTATTACGTATAACTTTTTCATTGCCTGTTTTCATTTTCAACTCGGCCTGTATTACGCACAACGTACATTCACTACATTGTTCTCTGATCCGGATATGAATTTTATCTGAGAAGTCACAGTGATGGCATTTCTACTGTATTGTTCATGCAGATGTCTCCAATAATAAAGGGTGGTGTTGTGATTTGAAATCGCGCTACGAGCAGATCCGGATGCTTAACTAGCTGTGAGGAGGAGTGGCCTCTCTGTTCACCCGCGCACAGGCGGCTGCTAGGTTGTTTTGCTGTTTTTGCCGTGTTTTTCTCCATCTACCAGATTCCAAATCTGGTAGATTCTTTAGTTGCTAGATTTCGTCGTCTGAGCTGGTGTGCTTTTTCATTTTTGCCCCGCAGCAAGGTGCTGCGGTGGCCTTTGATGTGCTGTATGTGGGAGAGATAAAGTGTGCAGTGTGTTGGCGTTCAGTTTCCGTTCGCGCACAGGGGTGAACTAGCCGTTCATCCCCTGTTAGACAGTGCTCCATTTCTTGTTTCGAGAAAAACTTGTGTTCCAAAAATTACAGTGCAGTATTTAACCAGCTATGTAAACAAGGAAATTGCAGTATGCTTTGTCAGAATAGCACATGTACGATATCGGGGTCAAACAGCACTCGTCCAACTACACACCGAAACAAACCAGTCCAGTTTAGCTAGGTAGACAGCGTCACTGCTTTTGCGAACCTAAGCAGCTCTGATAAGTACCTTAAGGATATAGAGTGGGATGCACTGGTTAAACGAGATGACCTGGTAAAGCCTTCCGCAAGGTGATACATTAGACTTCTGCGATTGCGCGTTCTTTAGAATATGTTTTCGACCTCCTTTATTCCATGTTGCGAAGGAATGCTGCGTGCGCATTTTTGCGTATCATCCGAATGTGGAGCTAAAAAACGATCAAACGCAAATCGGTGTACCGAAAGCCTAGGTACACCTTTGTAGAAAAACGAACGTAAATATTAGGGTTGTGAGGAGGAGTGGCCTCCCCGCCCACCCGCACTGGTGCGGGTGCTAAGTTGTTTTGATGTATTTTGATGGCATTTTTCTTCATCTACCAGATCTTCAATCTGGTAGATTCTTCAGTTGCTAGCCATCGTCGTCTGAGTAACTTGCTGTACTTTTGGCCCCGCAGCATTCTGCTGCGGGAGCTTCTGTAGTGTCATGTGAATGGGATATAAAGTGGGCAGTTGGTTGTCGGGTGTCTTGCGTTTCCGCATAACTCGTAGTACACAACACTGCTCACTCTGCAGGATAGATTCCGTTTCTGTCTCTGTCCGTGGATTCTTCCTAGATCCACCATCATAGGGTCATTTCTCCGAAGTCTGTTCGAAATTTTTAGGCAGCCACTCGTTTAACACAAATAAAGTCCAGCTGATCATCACAATTCGAAAACTGAGAATCTTTAAGGTTAGCAGACGTAATGGTTCCGCAACTGGCTACATAGACCCTGGTGGTCTTGTCCAACGTGGCGAAGTTGGCTTGGAAGAAGACGTCTACTCCGTCATCGGGTTCGCTTGACATCCTGGCATCGTTCTGCCGGCAGAACATGTTGGCATTGGCGAACGCTTTTCTGCAACAAATCAAAGATTAATTTAAGTCCGTTCGTTCTGGCGTCCGATGCAACTGCAGCATTCGTAATTACTTGGTAGTGCCATCGGAAAGGAAGGAGAAGAAGTAGCAAAATTTGTTAAATGTGAACCAACCACTTGTCGTTGGACATCCTCGACCTGCAATGATACTATAATTTATTTAATATTTAAAAAGATATGATGCTCAAGAATCTCCTTATGAAAATATACACTGTCTGCTTTTTCGTTCAACACAAACAGCACAAAGACTAAAACAAAACAAAAACGAACGTATATGATAACTATAAGGTAGCGGCAGTGACTGGCAGGATTGGCGGGTACCTGTTTTTTCCGGGTAGGCCAACTTAATCTTCTCCAGATCGATCTTGCTTAGTCCCTCGCGCTGTCCCATCTGATCAGCACCGGGCGAATCAGAGACATTCTCCCGCGGCCGAATGGTCCATTCATCCGCATTTATGGCGAAATCATTCTTTCCGTAGTGCAAAATGGAGGCGAAATCGTATGGCCTGCCGAACGCCGTAATGTCTTTATCACTGTAGCTTCGAAACTGGAGGTAATCGGCTACAACAGAGCATTGCTATTTTCGTTGCAGTAATTTTTCGTTATTTTATAATTTTGCGTTAACGTTTTTTTAAATGTATTTTTACAATGCGTTAAACTGGTTTTAGCGTAGCTCGATAATATTTGTTTCGCATTCTAATCAACTGAATCATGCTTCTGTCGCCGATGCGCATTCCTGAATTGTATGTTATTTTGTTGACAGTATTGGCCCAATGTGTAGTTTTTCTGACGAGTGAATGCTTGCTGTGCTTTACTCTGTACTTGGGTTATTGTGGAGGGACTACTTTTCCGCTGGAGTTTTTAATTGACCGTGTCTGCAAATCTCGATAAGGAGTGATTCCTTGTATTTGCAGACGTTAAGCATTACAACCAAACCAAACCAAACTGAGTTACTGAGCTCTACAACGGTGTAACCAGGGTGGCAGAACAGCTTCTCTAAAAGTCTCCAGCAACCAAGAATATAATTTCTCAAGAAAGGAACTGTGTGATATTCCTTTTAAAATTCCGGTCGCTCAGAATATCTGTGTACTTTACATTTCATGATAACTGTACCAAGATGTATAAGGGATAACTATAAGGGTGTATAAGGGGTATAGGGTGTGAGGAGGAGCGGCGTCTCCGTTCACCCGCGCACAGGCGGCTGCTAGGTTGTTTTGCTGTTTTTGCCGTGTTTTTCTCTATCTACCAGATCTTCTATCTGGTAGATTCTTTAGTTGCTTGATTTCGTCGTCTGAGCTGTATGCTTTTTCCTTTTGCCCGCAGCAAGGTGCTGCGGTGGCCTTTGATGTATAGTATGTGAGAGACAGATAAAGTGTGCAGCGTTGTGGCGTTCAGTTTCCTGTTCTGTTCGCGCAAAGGGGTGACCTAGCCGTTCATCCCCTGTTAGATAACCATACACCTTGAGTCCTTGACTCAGTTGACTGTAAATACTTAAGCGGCTTAAGTACTTATGTACATCTGCAGCTGCTTAAAAATTTTCTCCTGAACCGCTGCGCAGCTTTCGTATATTTTGTAACTTCGTATATACCGTAAAATCCGATATTAACGCCCCGTGCGGTTTTAAACGCCCCCTCCCGTAGGTCACGAAATAATAAAAGCCCCCCCCCCCCCGAAATTACGGTTTTAAACACCCCCTCCCAAGGCTCTTGAAAAAATAAACGCCCAGGGCGTTAATATCGGATTTTACGGTAGGCGAGCAAAATTTGTACAAGGTCCTGTTTTACAGGCTATTGCTTTCTGCATGCTTACCTTTGCGGATGTTGTCCCAGTTGATTTCCACATACTGGTCCCTGTCGGTGCGGGACTGTTCATGGTAAAATCCTGGAAGAAACGCACTCATTTCTGATGAAATTCAGCAGCGTTGCAAACGCATTTACCGGTAGCATGCATTAGCTCATGCTGGATAACGCCTCTTTTCATGCAGCCTGTCAGCAAATTCGCTTTTCAGTGTACAGTTTGAAATACTAAAAGAGGTGCAAGTTTGTCGCACCTGGAACTTGTAGATTGATAATCTGTCTCCCTTGTTGATGGCCAATATGCGATGAACACCTGCCATAATAGTGTATTGATTAATCGGCATACTAATACAATTTTTTACACCATACATAGACAGTGAGTGCGTTCGCTCGACACTCGGCTTCCGCCATTTTGGTGGCTCTTAAACTTGTATGTATAAATACAGTACATGCGGATACAGTGTCCGCAAAGTTTGCGACTTACCCGAATCCTGGACCAATATAAACATAATCCTTGTCTTCATCTTTGCGCGGGCGGAATTTGATGGGTGTCTTCGACATAAAATCTTCTATGGCCCTCTGGATAATTGCTCTATCCTGTGGACCTAGGAGACTAAGGGTCAGTTTGCACAAATTACCATTTGAAAATTTACAATCAGGAAGTCTGCAATAAATTACGATAGACTCTGGATAAAACGTAGGGAATGGTCGCATCCCTCCATTTCAGTTCATCCTTGTTGACGAAGTTTTGTCCCATATCCTGCAAAGAAATAATTCCAGGAAAGGGACAGATTTTATCGTCCGCTGGGGGGAGCTCTGGCTGTGGCTTACATTAACGTTGACTTCCGCATCCTTTTCCACACCCAGCACATCGCCCTCGAACAGCTGAGAAGAAGACAGCATCTGGCTTTCGGTTCCTGAAGAAAAGCCACCCAACAATCTAACAGGACGAAAAATGCCGATTCGCTTAGCGAATAGAAGGAATAACTGATGTTAAAATGGGCGGATGGCTTGACTACGGACGAGCTACTTATATTTTCATCGGACGAGACGGTAGCCGTGAACTGGTTCGTAAATTACTTACTATAAAGTCCAGAAAATGTGCTTGCTACTCACTGGTGTCATTCCCGGACTCTTTCACAATCTCCGGGTCAAGAACGACGGGCTTGACTATGGGGGGCGTTGTCGTCGTCGTCGTTGTCGTGGTTGTTGTGGATGCCGTGGTTGTCACACTGCAGTCGATGTTGTCGCACATTTTATACACTTTAGCATCCTCCACGTTCAGTAAGCAGCACCATACTAACACATAATTATAAAGGATTATCATCAACAATATTACGCACTTAGCAATCCTTAACAGTTTAAACGTACTTACTCTTAGGATCGAGGAAATCTTGCTGGGATAGGGAGGCGCAGCAGCACAACGCTAATAATACTGGAAAAAGCTGCCGCATGGTGTTTACAGTCTGCCACGGTCGCGTGCACCGTTCCACCGGTAAATTAAGAATGTCGACAGCACTGGGTCCCCGTTAACATTAATCAGTGAGTTGAAAACGTGCGCAAGCTCGCTGTTCTTACGCTTTCGATGAATGCGATTACATAATAGAATACACCATTGTATCTAATGATATATGGCTGCTAGCGCAAGATACCCTCCAGGTATGAAAACAGGAAAAGACAGCGTTGCTTACACTTGTGCAAACATAGTTTCAGAATTGCTGGATATGAGAACGTCTGTGCTTTTACACAATTCATTGTTTTTATTTATTTGTGTTCGAACAGAAATTACTGCATAGTTCCATTATCTAGTATTTATGTGAAAAACTGTGCGTACTGTGTGGCGTTTACACTACAAAACACTTTAAAACGTATCATCGCCGTGCGTAAATGGTCAAACATTCGGGCCACCGAAACGTCAGATGTACTTTGACAACGCTGTGCGTAAGGGATAAAGAATAAACTAATAATTGACAATTATCTGCCAATTCATTGGATACGACCCGCCGGTTACGGTATTCGCGTGTTTCAGCTAAAAAGTTTCGTGAAGCGTGAAAAGAGCGTTTACTTTGCTTTACTGTTGGCTGTACAACGGAATCTCTACCCTTCAAACATTTATCAGCTCCTGTGTTTCTTGCATCAGGTCCAGGATGATTCAAAATTACAAAACTGTTCAGCAAACTAAGCTGTCTCCACGACCACATAAAAAATCGCAGTATTACAACTGAATGGCAAGCGCTTTTGTCTGGACGTGTCACCGTCCCTTCAGGAAATTTGAAAGCGTACCTGGATTGCATATGTATGTACCGCATACAAAGCGTTTCAACGGTCAGTTAAAAAGTTATTATGGAGTGCGGGTATGGACAGTAATTACGGTATATAACAGCATCTCAGTGCAATACATCTTAAAGCTTTTTCATCCGATATCGTTTTGCAAAGCAAGTGTAAATTGTGGTATTTCTGCGAGCGTCATATCTGTCGACACACCCAGCCCCGGTGTACCAAACGCAGCCATTCTGTGGGATACTAATACAGGACCATGACTTACATAAACCAATACTGCCGCATTCGTACATTGTTCATTCTGGAATGCGTGAAAACATATACGACGCGCTGTTCTTTGAAACTGTACTGAAACAAAGGTCAGGTATACCATCCGCAATAAAGGAAGCTGCCACCAACCCGCAGGTAACTTTCCTTCCGAATCGCTCCCCCTCATCCTTTCGGCAATCGCTTAAATTGTAAATTTTGCAGAATTGGTTACCGTGAAGAACAAGACATTCGGCGTGTCCATTTGGAAAGTTTTTCAACATGCTTCCTGAAAGGCATACAATAATATTATTTAAAATGCAATGTAACAGTACAAGCTTGTTCCGTAATTTTGTTCCCATTAACACAGCGACAAATATAAATTCACGGGTTGCGTCAAACTTCGCACGGCGGCGCGCTACGCCACATTATTTATGCTCTAAATGCCTTTGGCAGTTGGCATGGCTGATGCATGCCAAATATTGATCTGAATAGTAAACTGTATGTAGAACTTGTAAAGATTTATTTTCTCGTTTCTAATTATCTGAAATCTTTAGAAGAGTGAAGTTGTCATTATGGTAAAAGCAGTGTAACATAAATCGTTCATAGCAAAACTTTTCGCTAAATACGTGCTATCTGTACCTTCACGACAGAAATTACGGGCAGGCTTGTACATGTGGCGTATGTCCGACCTGCATATTTTGGTACTCGAAGCGACTAGTTCGCTCCTCGTACAAATTGTTAACAAAGGTCACCGCCCAATTTCTGACACTGCAATCACGATAAACCAGCGCTCTCTTTAGGTTGCGCAAACGGATATATCCATTGTACGGTACACGTTGCTCTCTTATTCTGTCACACGCTCAGCGTGTAACACGCCATATGATGGACCGGCCGCCAAATGTCTAACATTTGTAGTAGAAGTGCACTACCCGTTGTTGTAAATATCGAAGTATTTTTGATCTAATCCCTTTTGATATATGTACCTGCGGTAACGTTCAGTGAATTCACCAAATCATCTTTGGCACTCTTCGTGTTCGGAGCAGAATACTGGAAACAACTCTCAATATCTGTTTCTTCGAAATCCTTTCCAAAAAAATCCCTCCCCCAAAAAGCAGCTGTTGACTAGAAAAAATAATACACCATCAGGTAATTACTTGATATACTCTGCAGTAACCATTATCGATGCAAAAGTTCGACTGTCTTAAGTTTCGATAGGACGTGTTTGAAGGCATCTGTATTCGTGATTCTCGCCGGGACTGCAGACTGGCAGTGTGTCATTTTGACGTCACTAACTACAGGAATTTCGCAGTGCGCCAAAAGAGGAAATGCGCATGCGCCATATAACATACGAAAACGGTCGCACGTGAGGCGTTCTGTAATACCACGGCCATCGGCATTGCCGCACAATTTACGGGGCACATTACACTTTTTTATCAAACATGTGTCGCCCAATTGGTAGAGCTTAGTGTTCTATTAGTTTTCACGTGATTGCCGCATTAGTAAGCAGAATAATGTGCGAACTCGCGCTGTTTAAACAATGCCAGGAAAAGCACGTGTTGTTATGGGCCTACGATGACTTCTGGGCGTAGCGTGGGCGTACGGCTCCCAACCGCCACGGGGCGCCATCCTGGCGAGAATCGTCAATTAATTGTTTTCTACGTACAATATTGTTAGATTCTTATGCTTTGCACACATCCTTTCAATAATTTTAGACAACGCTTGTTTTACGAGAGGAGTAACGATACAATAAGAAACGATACAACTAAACTTAGTCGATAAAAAAATCGGATTCACCGCGCCACGGACAGGGTGAACGCGCAAAAGCATGGGTACCTCTCATTAAACACTGATTTTCCTCCTGATTGGCAGCATCTTGTCCCTTTTTCGCAGTTGTCATTGGAGTTTGACTGGGCACTCGTTTCTCGGAGGAAAATCTAACTGGCCATCAGAAATTTAGCCGAAGCCGTGGGTCCCCTGGAACCGTCAGGTTGTTCCGAGCCTGACGGGAGCGGACTATTTCCGTAGCTAATTTTGATCCCAGACGTCACAGAAGACGACCAATCTGTAACACTATTCGGACTCAGTTTCGCGAATTTGCTTACTACAAGCTGAGCGACAAGAGACATCAGTTTCATACAAAAAGACGGCCGTTGCAATTTTTAGCTAAGTGATGCCCTTTGCGACATTGAGCACCCGAGCAGTAACTTGGACATGGGCCGAAGCAGTTTAACATTTACGACCCCCATGCAACCGCCGTGTCTAACCACATCGGCAGCGGTACATTTCGACTACGTACATGTAATCGCTTGGGCCAGTGAGCAATTTGGCTGATGCCCACGTCAGTCGGCACTCGATTCGGCCGCCGCTCACTCTGGCTTAGATAACTGTGGCTTGTGGGACATGTTTCTTAGGTTTTTTTTGGTTCTGGCTATTTACGCGAACCTGGGTAACTGATACATTAGGATGACAGTACCCAAAAACGAATACGCGTAAGACTAAAGACGTGACACAACAGTGGCAATACTGAAGGTGACCGAACACACCAGGTTCGTAACTTCGTACCGTAACACTTGCAACTTTCAAATTCCTGCAAATTAAAAGTCACAACAAACCTAAAGTCGTAGCTGTGGTCGTATCGGAAACAGGACACTGCCCTTGGGTAGACAAGGACTGTCTGCCGGTGGGTACGTTGCATTTGAAGCGCTTGAAGATCCTGGCTAAATCCAGCGGACTCAGATTTTCATTTTGTCCCATCTTCGTCCCCTTTAGTTTGGTGCCACCGTAGGAAAGTTAGAATCTTTAGCAAAGGCGCGAAACTCGTAGTGCATAATCGACTGGTAGTCGTAGGGAAGACCATACGTTACACCCGTTCGCTTCTCGAACTGAACTTTATCCTCTGCGAAATACAACCGTGGAAAGAAGACGTAATTTGACATAAGTATGGCATACTATCTGCAATGGTAAGATTTGCGACCCTTAAATCGTGGGCACTGCATCGCTACTTTATACGCACTCCTCACCTGGCGCGATGTTGTCCCAGTTGATGATGACATAATCGTCCCGATCGAGCCGCGATTGTTCATGATAGAAACCCAGTGTGTGCATCAGCTCGTGCTGAATGCAGCCGTAGTGAAGTATGCAACCCGACGTCAGTTGTATTATCTGCTTTTGTCCAACGCGACCGACACTCGACAAGCACCTGCAGTGAAGGCATTAAATGTTGGGAAGCAGTTTGCACTTCTCTCATAGAATCGTGAATTAATCTGTATTCCGGTAAGTGGGCCTACAAATTACTCACCGAAAGCCTTTTTGGAATTTGACGTAGTCGCTTTCGTTAGTGCGGACCACAAATTTTACGCAGTTGCCCGTGTAATGCATAATGATATCCATGGCTTCCTCAATCATTTTCTTTTCAGACGCTCCTAAAATATTTAAAGACAATATTTTATTAACGATATGTGTTAAGAAAGACGAAAGATGGTATTAGTACAAGATGTTTGTACTCTCTCCGAGTCTCTCGTACCGAACGCAGCCGAGCATTGCGTGCTGAATTCATAAGGAACCGTATTGTTAGGCCATAGCAAATTGTCGTTGTCCGCCGCATTGGCAGCAGCGTTTCCTTTCACCTGTAGCATTAATTCAGGATCGCTGATTTCGACAAAACGAGATGGCCGTAAACCGTGATTACCTCTTCCAAGTCAATTCCCGCAATGTCACCCTCCCAGTAATCGCTGCTGTAGCGCGATTGGTCGTCGTCCGCTGCTAACATATCGGCATCGACATAGTCTCTCCAGTCTGCAAAAAATCACTGATAATAATTTGCAGCGAATACCACCTAAATAAATCAAATTTGATGGAGGCAGACAGTTTATTGCAGTCCCAAGATACAGTAATCATTGTTTTTTGATATACCATCCGGCAGCGTTTTGGCTGCAGAGGAACCATGGAGGAACAGGAGATAAGGGAATCCGCATCGTAATAAAATTTGTAAAGTTTTCGTTGCCATGTCTGTACAAACAGTTCTACCGCAGCTGGAACTACTGTACCTCCGCGTTATTATTAATATTAATTTTATGTTTAGACTAATACTAGCGCCAATACCGTCAAATCATTTTGTATTCGGACAGCTTTGAATTTATAATCGGTGCAGCATAAAACCGCTTCAAGCAAATGTAAGGGTAATAATAGCTAGACAATTAATTATATCTGTATGCAGTGCGACTGGCTATTATGTGCATAATTACATGTTTACCTTGTTAATATTCGTACATGTTTACCGCATTGTTAAGTTTACCTCTTGATAGTTCGCTTACAAACCTGCTATAAACCATTCTGATTGATGTGCTTTTTCTGCATTTGGCGTTAGGGCCTTAGAATTATGGGCCCCAGAAGTCCTCCGTGCTCGCAGCTGACGCTGTGCCCGAATACAATATTCAGTTTTTCCACATAAACCACAAACTGCTGCCGGCCAAAGATGCATTTGTTACTGACAGATCGCGTAAATGCAGCATCCGTGTAAGCCGCAAAGGTATCCCCTTTCCATAGATTTGCTCGTCAGCGAAACTGAGTTTGTTTAGCCGTTCGGCTCGTTTCATTTTGATGGGAAGCAGCAATTGTACTAAGTAAAGTTGTGGCTAGCCCAGCTGTGACTCAGGACGCCGGCCTTCCCAGCGTTCTCATCTGTCTGCTCCCTCGCTGTTTTTCCATTAAGCTATGCGCTCGATAGCACAGCTGTTGTGGTTGCCGATTCAGTTGGTCTCCTGGAATAGGCTGGTGAGCAGTGCATACAGTACTTCCATTGGTGTAAATGTCGGTATACACTTCCGGGTTGATCCACGGTAAACACAGGGCTCTTGTCACGTTATTGACGGTGATTATGTCACTGCACAGGTAACGCAGTGCCACTTCCCCAGTGCGCCATCCTTTAACGACTCGTGTTACTACGATCGGAAAGCGTTTGGCCCACTGCAATTAACTATGCTGCACGGAATCTTTCACGTTATAACTTTGCCAGATCTCAGCACAGGCACGGCTTGTGTACCCAACCATTTCCGTACATCGCTCTACGGCTAAGCGCATAGACAGTCTGCATATCTAACTAACTGCATATCTAACTGCATATCTAACATGAATATTCGAATGCAGGGAACGTCGCGTGAAAAAATTTTTTTTTCGGACTACAGGATGACATCATAGTGTGCATGTTGAATATTTTTTTGTTGACGATATTCAGCTCCGAGCAAAAGCCAAGCAGGTGCTAAATAAAATACCGGAAATGTGTGTTGCCTCAGTTATTTCCGGAACAACCAGAATCGCTTAAATTTTTTTTACATTGTGCTGCCTGTTCACCGTGCTGGCTGTGTAACACCGAATCGATTGCTTTCAGTAATTGTCAGTGGACAAAGGGCATGTGTTGCTTGCAATAAGACTCCAACGTATTTCCGCTGGTCATTTTTGGAATATCATCGTGCTCGACACTGTTGCGATTCCCACGCAACCCGCTCGAAACCACATTACTGACATGAATCCCGCGCAGCAGCCAACATTTCATTCAGGTGGGAACTTTGACTGGGAGGCATGTGTCAGAGCAGCCGCCAGAATACTTGATCCACCTTCAGACAACTCGGCTTCCAAAACCCAGAGAAAGAAGAAGAAAGCGATCAACCCGAAAACAGTCAGTTCACTGGTAAGTACGGAAAACAGAGCCCACGTACGTTATACTAGTTTATAATACTGCAAGCTCCATTCAAAAATAAAAGCTGAAGGCTCCGCAAACCATAGAGATACATAATTAAGCCGCACCAAACAAGCGAAGTAATACCGTATGTTTTTAGGGTTTGATTTTAGTAGTGCGATATGCACAATGAGTGCAGGCGCATTACAAGGTTGACTGACAGTCACATCATTCATTCCTCTGCGACTCAGTATTCTAACACAGTTGACCAACACAACCAGCCCTTGTGCTTCTATCGAATTTTTGTACAACTAAGCTGTACTCTTTACACGTGTCACCTTTACAAATCTTCTAATAAGGGACCGTTCGGCGATTTTTCATAACTCGAGCACCAGCTTTAGAAACTTTGTGTAGCCAAACCGGTAAACGGACACTACCCATATTTTAATGTTTTAAGAACATATAAAATGCTAAGTTAGGCAAGTCACTACGTACAATCCGTCAGCTTTCAGTAATACGAACACTACAGATGCGGCTATTACAGACATCATGCACAAGGCAACCAGCCACATTTTTATTATCGACTAATGGCTAGTAAAATAGTAATTAACGTTTGCACCACTTTACTGTGGACTAATAACTGTTATTTACATAGCCATAAAATTAATAATATTATTACACTTAGTATCTTCCATCACATTATCGATCCTGCAAAGGGAAACGTTGTAGACAGCCATAATGGCAAAGTTAAAAGATCATTTGCATTTTAATTGCATACGAATGGTTTTCACCACAACAATGCGTTTTTCACAACAAACTTACCGCGTCATATCCGCCAGTATTTTCGGTTATCAACTAGAATTTCTTCTTGTAAAGATGTTACAAAAAATGAAAATCGATCTAGCCAATACTGCCTTTTGAACAATAAACGTCACAAAGCGATCTGTGTTACAGCTGCGCACCCTCCAAGACGATCAAACGGTGGTATTCCAACACGACGCAAATGAACCATCTCTTCCGATGATAAGTGCATCGACGCCTAAAACACGGGCGAATGGTGCCGTGTACACACAGCCACATGCTCGTGACCATTATCCTTATCTGGCACCGTACCAAGTTCCTCAGCAGCCCGCGCAGCAAGAGGTATCTCAACGTCCTCCTTTGCAAATGCAGCACACCGGTGACCAGGTTTCGTGGACGATGAGCACGCACAATTCGGCGGCAGACACACCTGCTATCTATCAAAATGGACAAGCAATGCACCGACTAGGCTACACTAGTGATATCGTTGCGAATTACGGCGTTCCGGTTTCTACCTCCAGTGTTAGCAATTCTGCTGTGGATTCTCCTGCAAACTGGACACTTAACCATCGTTCAGCGTCGTACAACGGTGAGTGCATGGGCCTCGTGTTGGCGCAGAATCGCGCGTACCAGTCACAAGCCGCTGTTGTACGCCCGCCGCAGACCATCACACCGTCCATTCCGGCCCTAAGTCCTTTTGCCGGTTCAACTGAGAGCGGGTCCACTCGAACCGTGTCCATCACGCTCTCTGATTGGCCACGTTGTTTCAGCTTCGAATTTAACTGCGTTTTCTGCCTGGAAACTTTGCCCACACTGCAGCCGGCAAGGATTTCCGCAGGGGATTTCCGGCAGCATCTTAAAACGAGCCGGTATTGCTACGGCCGAAATCTGCAGTTTCTGCGTGCAATGTTCGACAAAGGAGCGGAAGAGACCGACGAGCCACTGGCCAATGGGCAAGTGAAGCGGCAGTTGGTGTGTCTGCTGTGTAAGGCGGCACGGCAGACCAGCCGGTACAGACTGCCTACATTGGACGTTGTAGGTTGGTTTTGTCAAGTCATGCCTCTTCTCATCATAATTGCTCGTAACTTTGTTGTTGGAACTTTTTGTAACGTTATTATAAGTCATATGCACAGAAACCGAAGGCATCACACACTCTGGTGGTCAGTTGTTCAAAGCTATCCAGACTTATATAGCACCAGATACTGCAATAATATTAGTAAACAACTGCACCTTTACATCCGACAAACACAGGACGGATGACGTATGTGCAGCGTAAATTCAGTAATGAGTGGACCATAATAAGGTCATCATTAGAGTGCAAATGATGAGTGTGCCATTTTATTTCTAACATCTACATCGTAATTAATTAGCATTTTTTATTTGCAGCCCATCATATGCAGCGATACCATGCTGTACCAACCGGTCAAAAATACTCAGTAGTTCGTACGACTGCAGGGCCTTTCAGGGAAGCAGATAGGTCTTAGACTCGGATGCTTTTAAAGCCAATACTCCAACAACCTCTCCAATAGAGCACTTGGGAAATCTCAACCTCAGACTAAAATTGGGTGCTCCGCTCGAGTTGACTTATTTTGTTGTTGCTGGTTCAATTTTCTCTCAAATTTTAATGCTTTTCACAATATGTTTGTTGACCTTTACGTGTTAATCCGTCAGTGCTGGGCAATGTGGCAAAGTGAATACTTTGATCCGGACACTGATTTTTTAAAACCGTGTTCCGTATGGCTTTCTTATTGTTGATGAACCTGCACTAATTTTCACGCTAGATCCGGATACTAAAATACCGGTGAGCCTTGTTTCGAGAAAAAGCATCGATGGTTGAATGGTTCATAAGGATAAAGCGCATTGCTCTTGATTGCTGTGTGTATGCTATTTGCCCAAATATCGGGGCTTCAAGAGGCTTGTGTGATTCGAGAGCAGGGACTACCGAAAAACAACAAAAAGTTGTCGGGAAAAAACTGAAGCTGTCAGACACCCTAAGTTTTATCAACTGAATGCAAAATGTTTATGGACGAAAACCCACTGTGAGCGCTAATTCACCAGACCCTCAAGTTTACCAAATTATATCCGGCAGGCAAAGATCCCCAAAGCTACTGTATTTCAGAATTACGCTTTATGAGATTCCCAAAGTGACTGAAGACACGATCTTCTAAATTTACATATGTCGTTTATCACGGAAAACTGGAAAAAAAAGTTCAGTCGGTTTGAAAAACAACGACTGAACAAAGACACACCTGTGAGAAAAGGAACGTTTAGCTGATTAGCTCATGCGATGCACGTAATGCCATAGACGCAAACGAAGTTCGCAAACGTCTTTCACCTCCAATAATTCCGAGACTAAAATCCGGATACACAGGATCTGTTACCGGGTTTGACCTAGGTTTCACAGGGTTTAACATTCACGAAACCGTGCCGTTTCTTGCTGATGTGTTGTAATCGGATCTCCGCAACCGGCACAAGCTAACCGAAAATTTTCGTTTCCCGATGGAGAAACCAACTATAAAAGGATGTCCTTCTCTTATTATTGCCAAAATAATGCTGAATAAAGGCTGACAGATACACTAGCACTTGCTAGCTTCTGGTCAGTAAAGGTCATAAAACGATTTCTATGCTTAAAACCGCTGCATCATGCAAGAGCATGTTGCCATGCCCCAACCCGACGCAGACGGCTGGAATAAAAGGAGGTGTGTCGAAACGGCTGGCTTGTGGTGGCCACCTACAGACGACCTAGTCCTGCAGTACCAGACGGAGTTACAGAGAGTGGACAAGCCGAAAGTAATGGTAAGTCCACGCGAAACGAAAAAGAGAGGTTAGGTCCAACTTAATTACAGTATGTGTAGTACTGAATTTGTATTTTACCGGTTTAACTAGTTACAGTTACAACGCGGTGGTGAGGTGACGCCTAAAGATCATTTTATCCCTTTGCAGCGGAGTACTGGGCGAAGGAATCCGACCTTGCCGTGCGGCCAGAACCTGTCGTGGGAACCTTACCGCGTCCCGAAGCAGTCCGTGAAGCAACAGGCGCTCCCACATTATCCCTTGGAACATTATCCTTTGGGTTGGGCCATCCGGTGGGCGGGCAGGAAAATCTCGTGGGCAGCAGACAGGGTAAATTCGGCTACGGATGCAGCGACAGTATACCGCAGAAATAGACAGGGAACACGCAGATCAGGCAATAATAGTCACGCCAGAGGAGGTAATTGTAATTGCCGCGTTCTGGCTAACACTTCCTGTGCTGGCCACAACAACGGTTCTTCCATAAACGCTGCTAGCTCGACATCCAACCTTTCTTTAGCGCCATACACCCGTTTACCGCTTCAGCGCTGCATAAACCTTAAAAGGCTGCTGGAGCGGAACTCTGAGCAGCCCACACAGGCCTCTGTTATCCATTCGCCGCCGACCGTGACAGCGCCCATTCCGATCGCATGTCCTGCTGCCGATTCCATTGCCACCTCTTCGACCCAACCTGTGCCTGGCGCGCTCTACGATTGCGCGCAGTTCTGTGGTTTTGATTTCCACTGTGCCTTCTGCATGGAAACTCTGACGCAGGACGCTGCAGCAGTTTCCGAAGGAAATTTTCGACGTCATCTCAAGCAAAGCCGGTATTGCTACGGCAAGAACCTGCAGTTTCTGAGTGAAATGTTTGACAAGGGAGCGGAGGATGCCGGCAATCCGCTAGTTAATGGGCAAGTGAAGCACCAGTTGGTGTGTCTGCTGTGTAAAGCGGCAGGACAGACCAGCCGGTACAGACTGGCCGGACCGGACTTTGTAGGTTAGTTTTCCAAATTTGCAGTCTCAAATACTGGCTGTTAACTTTAGCGTTAAGTTACATTTGTTTTATTTTGTAAAAACAGGATTTACTTGCGTTAGTTTTGTTGTGTTGATTTTGCAGCGCAACACATGCAACGATACCATGCTGCAACCGCATCAGCTGGAGAGAAAACCGGTTTTTCGTAGGACTTTGATCGTGCAAGATGGTGATTGATGATTAATGATTCGGTATTTCCCAGCATCGGCTGGGAAGTTAAGTCTGCCACTTGCGGTGACTTGCCAGTCCGCGGACGAGCTACTGTAAACCCTTTTGATTAAACTTTTGATTGTGGTTTTTCTGCGCTCGATGCTAGTAAGTAGCGAGAATAAAAATTCAGCAAATTTCACATCGTAGAAGTTGCATTTTATGCATGTATAAGAGTACAGATCTCAAACGGTAACCACCTAAAAAGACGTTAGTACTTTTTATTACGGCATTTTTTTAAAAACTTTTCTTTTTGGAAAGTACAGAATTAACTATCTGGTATTATGCCGAATGTGACTGCCTTAATACTTTGTAACTCCAAAGCTTGAGCATAACATTTACCACTCCTCCAAATTTGTTCGCCCACTGCACCAAACCCGCCCAGGCCCCCACCGTCATGTCACCGTTAGAAACGCCCTTTGCACCAGCTACTCATTAAAGACATCGTCGGCATTAAACCAGCACTGATACCATCCAGCATCATCCCGCCGAACGGCCGGAATCGTCAGCGCCACGTAGCACGTGCACTGAGCATCAGAGAGGTAGTCCACCGTGATGCCGTCCCTCCGCCGCACGATGTGCAAGCGGTCGAAGCCGCCCGCGGACAACACATCCTGCTCGTTAACCCAAAGGAATCGTTCCATCAGCCCGCCAATCACTGCGTCAAATTTCACCCAGCAGCGTAATTCCACGCTTTCGCCCACTTTGGCGGAGACATTGCGCAAGGGCGGAGCGAAGACTTCTTGAGCGGTCAACAGGGAACTGACCAGGTAGCGCTGACTGACGTAACCGTCGTCGTCACCGTTGTACCACACACACTCGTACTGGCCGCCGTTGGCGTTGCTGAAATTCAGTAGGTGCACATCGGCCGATGTTAAATTGTAGATCGTAGCACGGAATTCTCCCGCCACCGCACCGGATGGTAAGCATCCACACGTGGTGAGACGTCCTGGAACGACGGGATGACTCCGACCCAGTTTGCTGTGTTCTACTCCGTTAAAGCGTATAGCAAACCGGTTGGTTTCTTTCGTTCTCGGTACAATACGATGGTCATGACACTTAAGCGTCATCGGCGATCTCTCGGGAGCTCTTATAACTATATTATTGTCCAACGAAAAAACCGGCGCTGTGGACGTTAGGGTTAGGTTGCCTAGATCCGCCGTTCCGTTCTGGTGTCTGGAGAACGCTTCATGCAGCTGTTGCAATACTACAAGTACAAACAAATAGATTCAATTTATTATCCAGATTTTTTTATTTACTACCAATCAGAAATGATTAACCAAAACGTTTGTACTAAAAGTAGTTATCTTTCCTCTAAAATAGAGAAATTTGAAAACACATAAATTCAAGGAAACGGCGACTCGGTGCCTAAACATCTTAACAATAAAAAAAGTGCTTTTCAACTACGAAGATCGTTTTTACACCGGACATTTGCTTTTCTATGTCGATGCGTCGTCAGTGGTACAGGTCAGTGGCATTTGGGTAACCAATGCGCGTCGGGTAACGAAGAAAAGCATAAAAACTATCCAAGACTCAGCGAAAAAATTATCGTCCAATCGTAAGGCGAGTATGCTTCCGTGTCAAGAAAGAAACTGAACCACGAAGTGGAATTGCAAAATTCATTATGATATTATTGTAATGTTGTAAATCTGGTATTATGTCGAAAAAGTAATTTGAGTTCGGGGTGTAAATCTGGGTCGGTGGATGTACTTTTGGTACAAAACTCAGGATTTTCGTTGATCTGTGCACGAGACAACAACAAGTTTGGGTAATGGTTGCGCTTCGACGACGAAGCGCAACGGTGGCACGGACGGGTAAACTGGAAACCCATTCCAGAATTCTGGTTTATCTATCAAATCGTTTGCAGATTTTCGCGCCGTGACGACCTTGTTTTTTTACCCGACTGCCCTGCTGTTGTACTACACCAACACAAGGTCAAACTGACGGCCAGGCAGCAGCCCCACCCCATGCTCCGACTTTGCTGTCACTGTAAAGTGTAGATATCTACCGAAATGCGTTGGGAAAGTAGCTGAAGTGGACCAATTAAGGCGTTTATTATGCGGATAAGACATTGTCATGGCAACTGGCTCATAAAAACGGCAGTGTCGTCTCACAATGGTGGTTTTTCGCGTTGTGCACAATACTGCTGTACTCACATCCTTCCTAATCCCCGCAACGCAGAACAACAGATTTCCAGGAGGTTATACACAGCTTACATAAAAAACTACTTTATGTGGACGTCCCGCCGAGTCCCTGGATATTGCTAGTATTTCCATGATGACACCAAATACCTGTGCCAGCAATCGCTCATTGCGAATGCTACGGACTACGGTCATCAACAGTCTAATACAGTCTGCAGCTGCCCTTGTAAGGCGTAAAATTTTCGTATGCAGTTACGTTTTTTTTTTGAGTGGTGGTTCTCCTTATGTGTCACAGCATGGACCACCCGACCATCGCTGTCTATACCCTCTTAATTGTTATTCACAACTCGGGGCAAGTAACATGCTGTTTTCTGTAGCAAACCAAACCACCTTGAACGTTTTTCGTTATCTGCAGCACAAGAAAAAACAATTAAAGCATACCCAATTTAATGTCACCAAGTCACCATGTCACCAGCAGCTAAGTCAGTTAAACAGTTAAAACCAGCACTAACAACGGGATGCCTCCACAAGAACAAATCAGTGCAAGCGGCACCCCAGAAACACGTTAATACTAAATACAACGGCATATCTTTGGCGAATAAATCATCTTTTCCAAAACTGCTTGATCATGCGGTTTGCCACTCCTTCAAATTTGTTGGCCAACAGTAGCAGACCAACCCACTGTCACGTCACCGTAAGAAACGCGCTTTGCACCAGCCACTCATCAAAGATATCATCTGCTTTAAACCAACATTGATACGATCCGGCATCATCCCGCCGAACGGCCGGAATCTTCAGTGCTACGTAGCAGGTGCAATTAGCGTCAGATTTGTAATGCACGGAGATGCCGTCCCGTCGGCGCACGATGTGTTGCAGCTGCTCGAAGCCGCTCGCGGACAACACGTCCTTCTCACTGATCCACAGGAATCGTCCCATCATCCCACCCATCATGGCGTCGAATTTTACCCAGCAGCGTAACTCCACGCTTTCGCCTACCTTGGCCGAGATGTTACGCAGCGGCGGAGTGAAGACCTCTTGAGCAGTCAACAGGGAACTGACCAGGTAGCGCTGACTAACGTAACCAGCGTCGCCCCCGTTGTACCACACACACTCGTACTGGCCGCCGTTGGCGTTGCTGAAATTCAGTAGGTGCACATCGGCCGACGTTAAATTGTAAATGGTGGCATGGTAAGCTCCAACAGCCGCATCGGGTGGCAAGCACCCACATGTGGTCATGGGTAGTGGAACCATGGGCTGACTGGGGCCGAACTCACCGTGTTCTACTCCGTTGAATCGTACAGCAAACCGGTTGGTTCCCTCCGTTTTCGGTACAATACGATGGTCACGACACTTTAGCGTTATCGCCGTTCTTTCGGCAGCTCTTATTACTACGTTATTGTCCAGCGAATACACCGGAGCTGGGGTCGTTATGGTTAGGTTGCCCAGATGCACCGTGCCGTTTTGGTGTTTGGCGAATGCTTGATGCAGCTGCTGCATTACTACAAACACAAGTTTCAGGTTATTGTCCAGATTTCTGATTATATACTATTATACTTATGACACTCACCAAAACAGAAAATGTTTTTAACTATGAAGAGCGTTATTTAATCTCGAACATTCGCTTTACTGTGTTCAAGCGCCGTCAGAGTAAATTTCGAATAAAACGGAACGAGTTAGAAAAACATAGAAGTCGATGGAAATGTTCCCAAAGAGGTGTTAATGTAATTGTTATGTGGGCACAATTTTTGACAGGGACTCTAGTGGTGAATCTTACAAAAATCGCAACCCCTACAAGCTAAAGGTCACAGGCTAGTCGAGATGTAATAGTTACGGACAGCTTTGCAGTCTGCTCTAGTGTAGCGAAAGATTTGCTTACTTTCTCTTCGATGGAGACCTTTTGTTACCGAGCAGCCTGTTGTATACCAGCACAAGGCCAAACTGACGGTCAGGTAGCAGCCGCACCCCATTTTCCGATTTTGCTACCACTGTACACAGCTACGGAAATCCGTTGCTTTGGGATGGTGTCAGAAGCGGGCCGATTAAGACATTTTCCCTTCGGATAGAATATTGTCATGACAACCATTGAATTTATGTATGCGGTGCATTGCTACACGGGCTCATAGAAACGGCAGGGTCGTCTCCACAGTGGTGGTTTTTCGCGGTGTGCACAATACTAGGTACTCAAATATACTTCCTAGTTCATATAACGCAAAACAACCGATACCATCTGCAAGATTGCAATAGTTATATGAAGATATTGAAGTTTCATTCCGTCTCAGAAACGGCAACGCTATTGGCTGATTCGCTTGCAGCGAGCGTGTGAAATGTGTTCGGGCTGTGTACCCACTTATGCAGACGATTACAGTACAAATATAGTAAGTTATCTAAATATCATACCTGTAAAGCACCACATGCGTTCGCTAATCGCGACTCTAGATCTAATGTTTATGAAAATTTACTAAGTAATTGCGGTGATCGGTGATTGAGCAAGCGGAGTTACTGGATACCAAATTTTTAAATTCTGCTTTTGGTCGGCGAAGTCAGTACGTATACCCGATGCTACGCCGGACAATAGAAAAATTCGAAAAGCAGTCAGATCGAGCTCAGCTAACAAGCTAGCAGTCGCCAACAAGGGCGGTTGTTCATACGGCATTTTTAACCAGCCGGGAGTCGGAATATACATGTAGTGACTTCAACTTCAAGGGTGACCTTTGGATATATACAGATACCAAGCAGTGAATCAGTGACACACCCCGTTTGTGTACAGTAGTATATCATCCATTATTTCACAATTTGCGCAGACACACGCTGTCGCTTAGACAGCAACACGCTTTACACAGATAAAGTCCAGCTTATCCAAGCAATCAGACTCCTGAGATTCCTCGATGTTCTCAGGTGTAATCGTATTGCAGCTGGCTACGTAGACCCTGGTGCTGCTCGGCAGGGCGTTGGCTAAGGCGAACTGCGCTTGAAAAAACACAGTAACGCCTTCCTCGGGATCGGGCGCTAACCTGGCGCCATTTTGCCGACAAAACAGATTGGCATTGGCGAACGGTTTCCTGCAAAATATACCCTGATGAGCGTACCGCATTTTTGTACCGCAAGCAAAATCATACTTCAACAGTACCTCGTTGTGCCGTTGGACAGAAAGGAGAAAAAGTAGCAGAATTTCTTGTAGGCCGCCCAGCCCTCGGTCGAAGGACAAGATTTACCTGGAAAGATACTTCACTTTTGAACACATCTTCGACTGTCGCCAGTGACCTTTACGAGTTTATCGTGTATTCGCAAAAAACGCTAGGATTTGCGTCGATGCGAGCGATCTGCACCTTTGTTTTCCGGGTAGGCCAGCTTGATCTTCTCCACATCGGTCTCGCTGAGCGCTTCGCGTTGTCCCATGACATCGGCGCCGGGCAGACGCGAGGCATTTTGTCGCGGTCGGATGGTCCACTCCTCCGGGTCGATGGCGAAATCGTACATCCCATAATGCAGTACAGAAGCAAAATCGTACGGTCGACCAAATGCCGTGATATCCTTGTCTGCGTAGCTGCGAAACTGGCTCCGATCGACTGCAACAGAAAGTATTGGTTGCTTCCTATCGTAACGAAAAACATACTATAATATGAAGGTACTCGTAGCTTGTATGAAGCAAGAAACCTTCAAAAAGCTGTTCAATTTAATTCCGTAAATTCAAATACGTGTTCGAACGATATATTTTTACAGGAAGCCCAGGTTCCCGCTCAAATCCGACTAGCTATACGTTTGCAGCTGATGATGTGGTCTGGTATTGGAGACACATCTCACTGTATCCCTCCCGACCTGCTTTTTCTTACTTTGGCGGATATTGCTCCAGTTTATTTCCACGTAATTGTCTCTGTCTGTACGAGCTTGTTCATGGTAAAATCCTGAGAGGTGAAAACAGTCGGGTCACCCATCTAGAGAGGTGCTTCAACAAATATAATTTTACCGGTGGTATGCATTAGCTCGTGCTGTACAACGCCCTTTTTCATGCAACCTGCAAATAAAACCGTCTCGGTAATGTGTAACCGAATCGTATGGCAAAGTACTGTACCTGGTACGTGAAGAGACATGACTTGTTTTTCTCCCAAGTGGCCGATATATGAGGAGCATCTGTAAAGACATTTATTTATTTCAGAATTAAAAGCACGGCTGCCCCTACACACCACTGATTACTTAGAGTCTACAGTTACAGAGGTATATTTTGCTACAGCATTTTTGATCTGGCAAACTTTATTGGTGCTTACCCAAAGCCGGGTCCGATGTACACATAATCCTTGTCCTCATCCTTTCGTGGACGAAATTTGATGGGCGTCTTCGACATAAAATCCTCCATGGCGTCGCGAATGAGCGCTTTGTCGCGTGGACCTAAAATGTACATTATGTTGTACAATCTTGTATAAAGGTTCCGATGCTATCGAGCATTACGAAATGTGTTCGACATAACGTATGGGATGGTTGCATCCCGCCATTTCAGCTCCTCGCTCGTGACGAAGTTTTTTCCCATATCCTGCAACAAAACACGACAAATATATAAATAACTGCAAAAATTATTTTAGAAATATCAGCGTAATAATGTTTACATTAACGTTTACGGGCGCATCAACAGGGACGCCCAGCACATCGCCCTCAAATAACTGGGACGACGACAACATTTGTCCAGCCGATCCTGCACAAAATTAAGTCTTATTATTGTCAATTAAAATACGTGCATTTTACATAATCATCTGCAATGCTGCTAAGCTATAACAAAGATTCATGAAAATTAAAAAATAAAGCAAACAGAACCATTAAGTAAATACCGGTAATACTATACTAATGTACAGTGTTATCTACGGCGCAGCACTAATGTACAGTGCTGCGCCGTATCCCACACGGTGCGCGACCTGCCGCGAGAGATTCCCTTCAAAAAGTGCTGCAGCAAGTAGCGATCAAGAACGATAGCCCGTCCTGGCTGAAGCTGTTTGCCTTCGCATCAACAGCGCTTCGACTCCCAGCCAAGACGAAATCAGAGCGCTCCTGCACGTTGGCCACTGCAGTGAAGAAGAACCTGGACTTGTTCGACCGCGATATCGAGATTCCTGCAACACAGCCCACTAAAGCCAGGAGGAAACGAACCACTGATGAAGATATTGTTCGTCGTGTAGGCGAAAAGATTGACGACGGTTCCGTTTCCGGGGCGATGCGCATTGTTTTGTCCACAGACTCTGTTGCAGACACCACTTGCGATACTCTAAAGGAACTTAGAACGAAGCATCCCGTGTGTGCGCCTCCACCCGTGACGCTTACCAATGCTGATACACCCGCAGCGCCCCCAGTAACTGCCGCAGATGTATTTGCAGCTATTCGCAGCTTTCCACGAGGATCTGCTGCTGGGCCAGATGGGTTGCGTCCCCAACACCTAATCGACATTTTAGGAGGAAAAATGGACGATCACAGTGGACCGTTTTGCGAATCCCTGGCAGCCGTCCTCAATCTTGCCTTGAACGATAAAGTGCCAGCTGACATCCGTCCTGCTTTTTTCGGTGGAAAGCTGCTAGCCTTGCGGAAAAAAGACGGCGGCCTACGCCCCATCGCGGTCGGAATGACATTGCGCCGTGTCATTGCCAAGATCATTTGCAGCAAAGTCGCGGAACGGGCAGTCACTGTCCTATCCCCAACACAACTCGGCTTTAATGTGCGTGGCGGAGCTGAAGCCATTGTTCACGGTTCCAGACACTTCCTTAGCGGTAATCCTGATATCACGAAAGCCATCGTAAAAGTGGATTTTCGAAATGCGTTCAATTTGGTCTCGCGTGAAGTAGTGCTCAGTGCAGTGCGGTCATACTTCCCGGAATACCTTGTCTTTTTTCAGTCAGCTTATGGACACCATTCATCACTGTTCATCGACGACCACGTTCTATCATCCGAATCCGGTGTACAGCAGGGGGATCCATTGGGCCCGCTACTATTTTGCCTCGCACTGCAATCAGTTATTGCCTCCCTGGATACCGATCTAAACGCTTGGTACCTGGACGATGGGACGTTGGGCGGGCTTCCAAGTAGTGTACTGGAAAATTTCGATCGGGTCATCGAAAGAGCACGGGCGATTGGGCTGGAAATTAACGTCGGAAAGTGCGAACTATACGTTGCAGGCGGTTCTGAGAGTACACAACAAGAGGCAATTACCAGTTTTCTTTCAAGGCATCCCGGAATTCGCGTCATGTGCAGCACTAATCTAACACTCCTGGGAGCCCCTGTGCTGGACGACGCGATTGCCCCTGTATTTGCCGAGAAAGCGAAGTCACTGACCGCGGTATGCGAAAGAATGAAACTGCTTCCCCGTCACCACGCCTTATTCCTTTTAAGGCACTGTCTCGGAGCACCGAAAATCATTTACATGTTGCGGTGTTGCAACGCCTGGAAATATCCTGAGCAATTATACCGAATCGATGAAGTACTGCGATCTTGTTCCAGCTTCTGTGTAATGTCCGGGTAAATCACGACGATTATCCCAGTTGGCGACAAGCAAGTCTCCCGGTTAGCAGAGGAGGCATCGGTCTACGTCGATCGGAGGAATTAGCACTCCCAGCCTTCCTGGCTTCGATTCACTCCGTCGGCGACCTGGTGTCTTTGTTGCTTCCCAGTCAAGAGACTTTGGACGTCACCGTTGCGCTAGAAATGTGGAAGGCAAAAGCCCATTTAACAGAACTGCCCGCTCCAGAATTCTGGAATTCTCAGAAGGCATGGGATTTGCCATTGTGCAATGTATCTCTGGCTGCCCTGCTAGAAGTATACCGGGATGATGAAGTCAATAAAGCGCGTCTGCTCGTCCAGTCAAAACCAGAAGCCGGCATTTGGCTCAACGCGTTGCCTTCCGCCCACATTGGTAATCTGCTCGACGACGACACTCTGAAAATCTCAGTAGGCCTTAGACTCGGCGCCAGGATTTGTGAACCTCACAACTGCACGAAATGTTCAAAGCCGGTCGATGGATACGCTCATCACGGTCTTTCCTGCACTTTCTCCGCCGGCAGACACCCAAGACATGGTGGCCTTGACAGCATCGTATGTCGGGCTTTTGTATCAGCCGGAATCCCAGCTAAACTCGAACCCCGAGGCACTTCCCACACCAGTGAACGACGCCCCGATGGCTGCACAACGTTTGCTTGGCAGCGAGGAATGTGCTTGGCATGGGATGTCACCTGCGTGGATACCGTTGCCGCTTCCCACATCAAATCTACTTCGGCAATTGCGGGATCGGCCGCTTTGCAGGCTGAAGAGAAGAAGTCTAGGTTTTATTCGTATTTAAACGGCCGGTATATTTTCACACCTATCGCTTTTGAAACAATGGGACCGTGGGGACCAGCGGCCATTGCCATTATAAAAGAACTGGGGAAGAGATTACGTTCTCATTCAGGAGAAGCCCGCTCGCACGAATTTCTTCGACAACGTCTGTCTATAGAGATACAGCGTGGTAACGCGGTTTCTGTTTTGGGCACGGTGGAGAAAGCGGAAATGTTTAACGAGTTGTTGTTTCTGTAACTGCTTCTTTAACACGTGTTTAAGTGACAGTGTTATTGCAATACTACTAACGCGTGTCGTTCCCGGCCAATTCCACAACTTGTGGATCCAGGACGAGAGGCATCGGTACAGATGGCGTGGTTGTCGTTGTTGTCGTGGCACGCTTGGTTGTTTCCTCTGGCTCGTCGTTACACACGATATTCGCGCATTTGGGATACGTTTTTGCGTCATCTTCGTTCAGCGCACAGCAGAATTCTATCAACCAAGAAAACGAAAACTAGAATGACGCAACAACGGTAAGTATTGAATAAGGGTTCAGCCTGCCTTCCGGAGCCATTAACCCAGGACTAGAAAAGGAAACGCAGCAGCATAATATCAGGAATGATAGTTGAGGCCACATAGCACGTTGCGTATGTCAGCTGTTATTACTATAAAAATTCAGATTTTGCAAAATGGAAAAAAAACATATTAGCTTAAACACCCGTTTGCCAGTTAGACGATAAAAAATGCATTCATTTGATCACGCACGGTTCATTTGCCCTCGAGGCGAAAGACGATACACAGCTATGAATCAGAAAAATACCTGCGGGCTGCGGCTGTAGTCGTCCGACCGCGTGGACTTCCCGGCAGCGCGATCATGGCCCACTTTAAGGTCTAGTATCACGTGTCCGTTGTCGCAGCCATCGAATTGCTTTGCTTTCGGCTGAATGGTTTTTTGCGTAGGGAGATTGTATCGTTATTTCAGAAACAAAGTTTTTAAGTAATAACTGTTACTCGTATGATCGTATCATCTCCAGCATGTTCCGGTAAGTAATCCCATCACCCATGCAAAAGATCGAACTCAACGAACCTATTGTCCGACTGACATTGTTGATTAAGTGATTCGGCATACACCAGTAATATCGATCGGCAGTCAGATTTAGGAACGCCTGCAAATCTTTGGAAACGAAACGGTTATTGTAGTGTATGATGTTGCTAAGTGCAAAAGGTCATGAGTTGTGGTGTGCGTTAATACTGATGATTTAGTACGATTACCAGCTGGGTACGAGAATCTGAGACTTTGTGCTATTACTCTATTATTCATATTAAAGCGTATTACATATACGACATTGGCGTGAAGGCGGTATTACTCAAGCGAGTGTATGCCCGGATCGGTCGATACATCCACGTCGACTTCTGATACTTCCCCAGCGTCTTCTCCAATGACTGCCGCGGAAGAAAAAGACCAGAACTTGATTCGTTTTCACCCGGATCAGGTTGAATGGACATCATGGAAGTCCCTCCATAAAACCTACCTGTCCCTCACAGAGACTACAACTGCGAAGCAAAAGAAGTTGATGATTAAAATCCTGGAATTGCGCGCCTTCGAGGATGTTGTCAGTGCTCGCCGACCGAAAGATCCGACCAAATTTTCGTAGAATGAGCTGCTGAAGAAATTCGACGACATATTATTAAGGTGACCTATCGGACAACAGAATGGGCATCATTTTTCAGAACACGTCAGCAGTCTAGCCAGTCATGGTGGCACAGTTCTCTAATCAGCTGCGAAACAGAACCTATACCTGTAAATTCCCGGGGGCCATACTGGAAGATCTGCTGAGCGCTGTATTTGTTGCGGGAGTTCACAGCGATACAACGAGAAGACACCTTATGTCACAAGAGCTGAAGTCGTTTGATGAAACACTCCAGCTTGCCAGAAGGTTTGAGACGGGACAGGAGCAAGCAAAGATGAACAATAACCTGGAGGAGGATATACCCACCTCGGTAAAGGTCATCCGGAAAGCTGGAAGAGGCAACGCAGCGAGACAGCAGAGTCCGCGGAAGACGAAGCCCTGCTACCGATGCGGTGGGACGAACCACGATCAGGCAGACTGCAGATTTCGCAATCAGCCATGCCGAAAATGCGGTAAGAACGGCCACATTGCGAAAGTTTGCAGATCTGGTGCGGCAACGGGAAAGGGAACCCAGCGACGCAGTGGTAGAGTGGAAGCCGTATACGACGTGCTGAACACCACCACTGGAGAAGGGGATCCCATCATGGTGCATCTAACGGTTTGCCGTCGGTCAGTTGCGTTTGAACTGGACACAGGATCGGCGAAGACCATTGCCACCAGGAAGATGTGGAACGAATTGAAACGACCGGACCTGTTCCCGTGCGACTCGAAGCTCCGTAGCTTCTCGGGACACGAAATTCCAGTCCTTGGAGCTTGCTACGTGGGAGTTAAACGCGACGGCGGCAGTGAAGAACGGTTGATGGAACTCATTGTGGTCGAGGAAGGCACGAACGTCTTGGGAAGGGACTGGATCACCGCGTTCAACCTCCAACACCACAAGATGTCTGAACTGGCGATTGGTCAGGTGCACGAGGAAAGGTCACTAGAATCCATACTGAAAGCGAACAAGAATCTCTTTCGGGAAGAACTCGGATGCTGCCGGACGTTCCAGGCGCATCTCCACCTGAAGCCGGATGCAGTGCCAAAGTACTGCAAGCCACGCCCCGTGCCCTTTGCGCTACGAGAGCCTGTGGAGAAGGACATTGAGCGCCTCGAGAGACTGGGCGTCCTAGAACGGATCGAGCGATCGGCATGGGCGGCGCCGATAGTAGTGGTGCGGAAGCAAGGCGGAGCAGTGCGGATATGCGCGGACCTGAGCACCGGGCTCAACGATGCCCTGGATGTGCAGCGGTACCCACTGCCCTTGCCGGACGAGTTATTTGCCATTCTCAATGGCGGTGAGGAATTTACCACGATTGATATGTCCGATGCATATCATCAAGTGCCACTGGATGAAGCGAGCCGTGAGTTGGTTGCGATAAACACGCATCGCGGATTGTATCGCTACACTCGACTGCCGTTCGGAGTGGCTGCAGCGCCCAGCATCTTCCAACAGATGATGGAAGAACTGCTGAATGGCATCCCGTACGTAGCTGTGTACATGGACGACATTATAATCACAGGCAGAACACGACGGGAGCACCTTGCAAATCTGGCCGAAGTAGCCGAACGAATGAACCGACAAGGATTCACCCTGAAACAGCAGAAGTGCAACTTCCTTCAGCTGTCGGTAGAATACTTGGGATTCGTGGTTGACAGAAACGGCCGACATGTGTCCGAAACAAAGATTCGCGCGATAATGGAGATGCCAGCACCGGTGGACGTTGCCCAGGTGCGATCCTTCCTGGGAATGATCAACCATTACGGCAAGTTCATTCACCAGCTGGCGACCAAGACGTACTGCCTCAACGCCCTGCTGAAAGTGGACGTCAAGTGGGAATGGTCAGGAGAATGTGATGGTGCCTTCCGCAGCCTGAAGGCGGAGCTGGCACAAGCTACAATGCTGGTGCATTACGATCCTGCGAAGCCGCTAATCCTCGCAGCGGATGCGTCGCAGTACGGGATCGGAGCGGTTATCAGCCACCGCGGACCGAGCGGAGAAGACCAGCCCATTGCCCATGCATCAAAGACGTTGACGCAAACTGAACAGCGGTACGCGCAGATAGAGAAAGAGGCGTTGGCTTTAGTCTTCGGTGTGAAGAAGTTCGACCAGTACCTGGCTGGTCGGGAGTTCACACTCCTTACAGACCACAAGCCGTTGGTCACGGTGTTCGGCCGGAAGACTGGAATTCCTGCGGTATCTGCCAACCGCCTCCAGCGATGGGCCATTGCACTCATGGCATATACCTTCACCATCGAGTACCGGTCCACCGATGACTTCGGGCAGGCTGACGGATTGAGCCGGCTCCCCCTGCACTCGAAGGATATCTTCGATGCCAATGATTGGGGAATGCACGAAGCCATACATGCCGTCCAGATGGAAGTGTTGCGTGAGACACCGGTGGACGCGATGCAGATCGCCAGTGAAACTGGTAAGGACCGTGTGTTAGCGCGGTGCCGTCACCTGGTGCTAACTGGATGGCCAGACAAAGCGGCGCCGGACCTCCAACCGTACCACCAACGGCGGCTTCAGCTGTCCGTGGTTGCTGGGTGCATCCTGTGGGGAGCGAGGACGGTCATTCCGACGTCCCTCCAGCCAGCGCTGCTGAAACACTTGCACGCGACACATGCCGGCATGGTGCGTATGAAGGCGGAGGCCAGAAGTCATTTCTGGTGGCCTGGGTTGGACGCAGACATCGAGCGACTGGCGAAGAATTGCCCTGCCTGCAGTATGGTGGCAAAAGAAACGCCGAAAGTGCCGTTGCAGCAGTGGCCAGTTGCCGAGAATCCGTGGCAGCGCGTGCATGTGGACTTCGCGGGCCCGTTCCACAACGAAATGTTTCTCGTGATTGTGGACAGCTTCTCGAAGTGGCCGGAAGTCATCAAGATGCGGCGGACGCAGTCCGGCGACGTGATCGCCGTGCTGGAGCACTTGTGCGGCCGTTATGGATACCCGAAACAGCTGGTAACCGATAACGGGCCACAGTTCACCAGTGCCGAGTTTGCAGACTACTGCAAAGAAAACGGGATTGCACACCTGCGCACGGCGCCTGGACACCCGCAATCCAACGGGCAGGCGGAACGTTATGTCGGCGCATTCAAGGACGCCATGACCAAGATGTTGGCCGACAACCGTGCCAACATCGACGATGCACTGCGGAAATACCTATTCAGGTATCGTACGACACCGCAAGCCACCACTGGAAGTTCGCCCGATGAGCTATTCCTCAAGCGCCGAATGCGCACAGCGCTGGATTTGGTACATCCAGACGCGAACGAGACACGGCAAGCCAACATGGACCGTCATAAACGTAACTTCGATCAGCATGCCAAAGCGAAAAACTTCCATGGCGGACAGCTGGTGTTAGTACGTGATTTCCGCCACGGTCCTAAAACCCATTGGACACCCGGCCAGCTGCGGTCTAAGAAAGGAAACCGTCAATGGACAGTTACGGTCGACGGCCAAGAGTGGTTCCGCCACGAAGACCAGATCAGGCCGCGTGAATGGCGTACTGCAGCTGAGCCCAACGACGTTACATCGCCAACAGTGCCAAAGGCGATGATATCGGAAATCCCACAGCGTGACCAGCAACCTGCAATAGCGGAGCCTGTCATCCAGCCACAGCCGGAACCAGCTCCGAGGACAGAATTTTCCTCCGGTAGCAGTGCCTGCTACAACGAATCCTGCCTCCATTGCGTGTGTCAGCGAGAGCGAATAAGGAGTCGAGCCAATACGATACGGATATACAAAATAAAATTTTTTTTTATCGGGGGAAGGAGATGTAGTGTATGATGTTGCTAAGTGCAAAAGGTCATGAGTTGTGGTGTGCGTTAATACTGATGATTTAGTACGATTACCAGCTGGGTACGAGAATCTGAGACTTTGTGCTATTACTCTATTATTCATATTAAAGCGTATTACATATACGACAGTTATGTTACATTCTCAGTGCTTCTGGGCAAACAACATAAAAGAAGGTGTTAACCGCCGTTGGGTGTTTTATGTTACCTTGTATAGATCCCCTTGATCCTGGAGATTTGCAGGGCGTATCAAGAATAATTAATACTGGTGACAGTGTATCAATGCTTTAGTATTACTGACGCAGAAACAAGCGTGAAAGCGAACTCGAACGGTTTTCCAATGCTTACTGGCGTTACCGGAAGTAACGCATCAGATAAGTCGTACAATCGAGGCTCGAAAATTAAACAACTTCACAAGAATCGTGTGCAACGCAGCAGTAACAGAGACAAGTACACGTTTACAACTACCTATAGTGCTTGCATATGTTGCACACAAGACAATCTGCTGTTAATTCGTTCTGCGTATTATTATTTATAATTAGAGCCTATTCTTATAAAGTATATTCGGGAATTCTGCAAGTGTTACTGCCTACGAAAAGACAGCTGCTGCCTCTGAATAATTATGTTATAATGAAGGCATTCGGATTGTTCTTCGGAATCTTTTGGACTGTTGTAACATCGCTTACATATTCAGGTGTGTAATGAAAATGTGTTATAAAATTGGGATTTCCTTGTTTTTCGTGTTATGTACTTACGATTAGTGTTTTATTGCACATAACCAGTCTATGCACTTCATTATGTCTTCATATCAACGAGTAAGTAGTACAGAAAAAAAATTTGTTAATTTGTCGCTGCGAGCTGGTCAAACATACTCATGATGCATAAAAGGATAGAGAGTACTGAGATTTCACATGTACCTAGTTTCTGCACACCGTTATTATAAATCTACAGTAGTCATGCATGTAACGTTGTGTCACAGTAAGCGAACCTGTAGGAGAGAATGCATCTGATAGCGATGCCAGCTTATATTTCAATGATGTAATCTGGGACGACGAGGACGATGGTGGTGCCAGGCAGTACATGCGGGCAACAGGTCAGCTTGCTCCGGGAAATTACTGGCCCAACAACGGAAAGGACATTCCTTACGCATTTGAACAACTCGGTAAGCGTTTTCCATGCTCCCATTATAACAGCATGCGCAAAGCGGCATATATTAACGCCCAGATTTTTTTGTAGATCCAGTCAGGCTAGTAACACATGCAACTGCTGTCCAATATTTTTACTAGCATTATAATTACAGAAACTGAACGCGTAAAAAACAAACACTGCAGAACTTGTTAACAAAATAAGCCGCAAAACTTCGTATGCAAAAACGATATTATCCAATGACAGCGCGAATTGCACGGTGTGGTAGCACAAGCGAAAGTATTTTATTTCAAAATTAATGGCCTTGGCATATTTGTATATGCTACTCTAGGTCCGATAAAATCGGCGCTTTGACTTATAAAAAATTAATTAGCGGTAATCAAATTGAAAACGTGAAAGCGGTAAAGTAATAATTGCTTTCAGATGCGGACCAACGACAAGCGGTGGAAAAGGCTTTGCGACTGATGGAATGGCGTACCAGCTTTTGCATAACTTTTAAAAGCCGGACACAAGAGCGGGAACATATTCTTTTCCAACCGGGAAAAAGGTAGTACCGTACTAGTGCAAAATAAAGAATACAGTGCTGATTTTTACTCATAACACAAATTGAGTTTGCTATTTATTATAGACTGCTAATTATGATTTATAATGATATAGCTGCCAAGCGGAAATTGGCCGTGTTCATGCGCATGCGACAAAGGTCAAGTTACACGCTGACTGTTTTTCATCGGGCATAATTCAGCATGAAGTCATGCATGCTCTCGGCATGTTTCATGAGCACAGCCGCCCCGATCGCGATGAGTACGTCACGGTCCTTCCTGAGAACATCCGAAAAGGCGTCGATCCAAGGAACTTTGATAAATTGCCACTGATGGTGACATACGGTGTTCCGTACGATTTGGATTCAATCATGCACTACGGCGGCATGGATATAGCACGAAGCGGCGGCAGACCAGCATTTGTTCCTAAGATAACCACGCAAGTAATTGGTCAGCGAAATGGTTTAAGCACTTTCGATGTGGCGCGATTGCAGAGAGCCTACAAGTGCTCCTTAGATGATGCCGCTTTTGAAAGGCGAATGTCCGAGCGAAGACTGAACATATCTTACAGAATAGCCACATCAGGTTAGCACTGTATGATTGATGCGTACTAAGCATTCATGTTGCTCTGTTATTTGCCACTAAAATGAACTGGTAGACCGGATGTTTGGACGGAAATGAAAGCCCTCTTCCGATACATTCAGGACCAATTACGTATATGCTTTATTAAATGTCCGTAACGAAAGTGACGCTGTTAAGTTATCAGGGCCCTTCATCCCGATAACAGATTTGGCGTTCACTGTTCAGTTCAACTCCAGGCGATGAGTGCGCTACTAAGTCTACAGTGCTGGTTCTATTCGTATTTATCGAACCATGCTAACCTGTGCATGCAACAAGGTATAATTGTTTTTATAGTTGAAGAAATCGCAACTGGACAATTTCCCACTTCTCCGGTGGCAGTGCAAATTCAGCCTTCGAAATCGCAGACGGTGAGAATTGGAGACACTGTGCAATTCCGTTGCATTGTCCGTAGTCCTATTGCCTACACGACGGTCTGGACAAAAGTCGGCGGACGACTTCTATCGCGTTACTCAGACGTAGCGGGAGTGTTGACCATTAACAATGTACAGCCACATGATGTCGGCACATATATCTGCACGGGTTCCAACGCCTACCAGAGTGGATCTGATCGTGCGGAGTTGAGCATCAAAAGCGCTGCCTTCCCGATTGAAGTAAAACCGTTGGCTAACGGTGAGAAGGCGGCACCCGCTCCGCCGAGCCTGTGGCCAACTGGTCCCGTTGAACTGCGGATTAAGCCGTACTTCCAGCGAGTTAAAGAAGGACAGCCAGTGGAATTCCGGTGCATTGCTACCGGTTCCCAAGTGCATCTATCTTGGCATCGCGCGCATGGTGGTCGTTTGAATTCACAGAGCACAGTAAACAATGGGGTACTCCGAATCCCGTCGGCTCAAGTTCAGGACGAAGACGAATACTTCTGCAATGGCACCGAACCGGGAGGACCAGTTAGCGCTCGAACATTCTCTTCGTTTTCTCTGAGTAAACGAAGAGAATGTTCGAGCAGAGAAGTAGTGAGGGTGGAATGTGTCGGTGACGGACCTGACGATGCAGTGTACTGGCATCGTGATTCAGCTGCGGGGCGTGTCGTAGCCGGGCCTGGTCAAGGCAGACAGGAGCAGGTGATTGAAAATGCATCCGCCGACGATGCTCGACAGTACGTCTGCGTTGTCAGAGACCCAACCGGCACCACCAGCTCATTTGCCGTGGAAGTACGAAGTAAGTTTGCTGCTTATTAAAGGTCAACAGCAACATGTCCTGGAAACAGGATTTTTCTCCCATTCACCAAACCCGGCGCATGTACAATACAGCCGAAACCAGCGTTTAGTCCAACCATCTGACAACAAGCCATCATCGAATAATTATAATCTGCATTCTGTAGCTATTGTCACCACTATTATTAAGAAATTTGTCTCTGCACGTGATTGTTCATAGAGGAAGCCAGGACATATCAAGGTGCCGGCGAAATTCCCGAAATCGTAAACTTGTAACCAACCAATTGCCTTCCGACCAGAACCCGGTATCGCGGACCCATGCATACTGAAGAAGACGACTGTAAAGTTCACGACAATTTAACCGCCAAGTCCTACCAGAAACCTTGATAGCCAACATTTTCGGACCTTTCTGCAGGCGGACGTTTGAACTGCATCTGCAGCATTTGGTCGTAGATGCACCCTTATAAGTGTGCGATCGCATCAATTCGTTACCCAAGAGGCGGTCGAATGTAGAAGAAATCTTAACTGAGCTCAGAAATTGCACCATTCGTGCTTTATGACCGGGCGTTTTCACCGATTTGCCTTTACTGCGTATTCTTGCTTTGGAAAATGGGATAAAAAAAAGAGGTTTAGTCAGGATATTAGGAATTACATAAACCGTCTGCATTGTTCGTGTCACTTTGCCTCTTTTCGACAATGGAGAAACCGTTACATCGCGTTATTGAACCAAAGTGATGTCGGACAGCTTTATAGTTTCCGTAACTCCTGGTGGAGCGCTTCTTATGAACGACAAGAAATTTACGTGCCTGTTAACTGCGCTACCAAGTCGTTTATAACTGGTTTTTTGGCCATCAAATCTTCTTCATAGGTTGAATTTTCATTGAATGATAACAAAATTTGTTGAAGAGGCAAATTTATTGAGATTGTACTGATCAGCGTATACCGCTATGAATTGTGTTCCAAGCAGATTTTCATTCATAATCGATTTAACTAGGATTCCACTAGTCGTAACTAGTTGCGCATTCGGCAGGAATGCCTAAGGATAATAGTAAAAATAATATTATTATTTTTATTATGATCCTGGTTGATTTGCTGGGTAGCGGGCCGCTTACGATCATGGCTAGTACGGTACTTACTTTGAATGGTCGCCTTTACCAAACAATTACAATGTCCTTAAACTATCTGAATGCCCGAAGCACCCAACCAAATGTTTCTTTGCGAAAACGCGGTTTGTTTGATGTAAACCATGGTAAAACTGATGCAAGATCCCGCAGCTTCGCATTCATAGTCGCAGAGGGACCTGCGTCACGTTACTACACGTGATAGTGAAACACAGAGTTTACTCGGATAACCGCGAAATACGCTTTGAACAGACAAAGTACAGCGACTCATCGCAGTCTGATTCGCCCGGCTTATGGACGTTACTGCGGGTTATCGTATTGCAGTTAGACACGTACACCCTCTCGTCATCGTCCAGGTCGGCTGCATCACTGGATAGCTGTGAGCTGAAAAATTCTTCGATCCTGTTCCTCGGAGTTCGAGAGATTTTGGCGTTCTTTTCCCGGCAGAAGGTCCGCGCTCGAGAGAAAGTTTTCCTGCAAAGAAAATCTGAGAACGGTTTGGAACGTACTTACAGAATGCGCTCAGTACTTTAACGGAGGTTCCGCTAGGAATGAAAAATAGTAGCAGGAGTTTTGAAAGGTCACCCAACCCTGGGTCGTCAGACACGTGGTGTCATCTAGCAACAGCAAGGTTTATAAGGAAAACAGGATCTTATGTATTTCGCGTTCTAGCTAAGGATTGTTTTTGCTAAATGTGCAGATACGAGCTAATAGTTTGTATCGATCAGCAATACGCACTCACCAGACGGTTTTCCGTAAGCCAGTTGGATCTTCTCAATATCCGTCTGACTTAGCTCCTTTCTCTGCCCCATTTTGGCGGCATTCTCTTCGTATTGCGGACCGTCCTTTGGGCGGATGGTCCAGGTGTCCTTCTTTCTGGCGAAGTCGTACATTCCGTAGTGCAGAATGGATCCAAAGTCGTACGGTTTACCGAACGCTGTAATTTCCTTATCGGTATACCTTTGAAATTGCAAATTCTGGCCTGCAACAAACAGACTTTGTATCGCGCTGTGAATCTGTTGGTTGCATGCCTCCAAAAACGGTTTACCCTTCTCGATGTTGTCCCAGTTGATGTCGACATATTGGTCTCTATCCGTTCGTGACTGTTCATGAAAAAATCCTAACGGCAGGCGCAAAATAAAATACCAGCGACATTCGTAAATCGTTTTACCAACCAATTGCGTGCATGAGTTCGTGGTGGACGTATCCCGGACCCATGCATCCTGAAAAAGACTTAACTAGAAAAGGTCACGACAAAAAAAAGGCGGCGAAGTTTTACCCGGAACTTGGAGAGCCAACGTTTGTTGACCTTTCTGCCGACCGACGTACGAACTGCATCTGCAACATTCAGCCATTGATACAACCCAAATTTATGTGACCTTTCGCCCATTCCCTTACCCGAAAGAGGGTCCAATGTAGACGAAATCCTTATCGGCGTCGGTCTTTTCCCGGAAGATTATAGGAGTTTTTGCTTGGAAGATCTGCAAGGCGTTGCGCACCGACTGTTTGTCGATCGGTCCTGTGTTGCAAAACCATCGCTGGGCTGGGCTACAGAATTTTTGCGAGGAAGGAGGTCTTACTGAATTGTCTGGATAGCATGTAAGGAACCACGCCACCCGGCCAGCGCAGATCGTCATTTTTCACGAAGTTGTTGGCCACTTTCTGTAACACAGCGGTTTACGAGATTTCGAACCGAATTGAGAAACTCCAACCTCTGTTTCCTGAGGCACTTTTATCCCGGGGGTGTATCCTAGGATGTCGCCCTCGAAGATATCGGGTGCCGAGAGCATTTCGCCTTCCGCGCCTATGTCCATCGGATTTTACAAATTGACCGCGTATTAAGTACAAGAAATGATTCAAAACCGAATTCGTCATGGATGGAAGAGTTTTTACGTGAAGTACAAAGGCCCACCGGATGGATTCTGTAAGCTACTACCCTAGGTCGGATGAATTTTAGTTAAATACTCTATTTACTTTTTATTATTTACTATTTACCCTCTTTTAATGAATACTTACGCGGTCCTTTGCCCGTGGTCTCCGTAATCTGCGCATCGGTGATAATCACATCCGCCACTTTTGTGGTGGAAGCGCTCGTCACCGGCTTCGATGTGCTCGGAGTTGTTGCTGAACAGTCAATCGCTGTACAAGCCTCGTAGGTCGGCGCCACGCTTGGCGGCAGAGCACAGCACCATTCTGTAGTAAAGCAAATTTTTCAACAATCTTTCTAGTTAGTAGCAGGCAAGAAAAGCAGTACACTTGATACGGCGAATTAAGAGCGCGGACGAGCATGTCAAAAGGAACAGTTCCGCTAGCAACGTACTTTAATTGCGGTTACCTTGAGGATCAATCGCCCAACAGACTCTTCCAGAAACTGCTAAAAAGACTAGCGGAACCAAAAACAGAGCGTGCACGGTAGACTGCATGGCGACTGTGATCGATGGAGCGAGATTTTATTATTGTGCGTGTTTTGGTGCAGTAACGAAGCAGCCGTCCTTGTTCGCATTTCCCGGTGCATGCACATAATGCAGCTCATATTGGACCGGTTTGTGCAATGTCTGCCTAGAGGCATTACATTACAGTGCATAATGAATTACAGTGAATTTTTGATCGCATCAAAATTTTAAACCCTTGTGTTGCTGTGTTATTGATTCACAATTATTTTATGTTGAAATACGTATGTATGTAAGGTATGTGACAGCGGCGTGATAGCAACTTTCATGTTTCACATTGTGTAAAAAATTCTACCGGCATAAATAAAAATGGTATATACCGAAATCCGGTACGTATTAGGCAGACGACGTTAGAAAACATCAAAGTAACTTTTTCGCGTGCTGCGAATTACGGTCATTAACTCATCCTACCAAATACCTTCATATAAGACCAATGTAATTCAGGAATATCTTAGAATAATAGAATGGGAACTTTGTGAATGGTTCCGGAAGACTATGTCTGGTTGGTGTCCACCGTAATTCTGATATCCGCGTGATACTTGTGCGTCTGGTTGCCGGGTGTGTCGGGAAAATCCGGGATGGGAATGGGCAACGGCAAGATAATGGTGTGGGAGTGCGACGAGCGATTGTTCGGCAATGCCGTGGCTGGATCTCCGGTCGTTGTCGTGCTGGGAATGGTCGGCAGTGTGATCTGTTCCATTCCCAGATCCTCCGGTTTGCACATAATCCGTTCGCAGGCCTTGTACGACCGTGCGATTTCGTCCGCCAACATACAACACCACTCTACGAGAATATGTAGTCTATGGTACTACGCAGACTTACAAAGCTTACGGACAAATTGACAATTAATTATTATTCGCTTATTAACTATGGCGCTGCTGCATCGGCTCGAAGCTTTATGTTGACATTTACGACAATCTTACCGGAAGGCGGGATGAACGATGCCTGACTGTGCACAATAAACGACAACAAAACGAGAAAAATGAAAGTTTTCATCCCGAAATTCATGGTAAACGTACGAAGAAGAGAACCTAAACAATCTTTGACAACGTTGTGACAGATATTTGGCATGCACTGACGGACAACATTGCCGAGACACATAAGACAGGTGTGCTACTATTATAGGTAAGTAATTATTTTATCGGTCCAAGAATGCAGTCAATGCACTACAACTTTGTATAGACGTACGACAACGAAAACCGCTTTGGTATTCACGTTAATAAGAATGACTCAGTGTAAAAAGACGAGCAAAAAGCATGGTGATGATTGAAACACTGCTGCAGGCACAAGTCGTAATTGCCACTTATTTGAATGTGAACGTCGATTTCCGCCGCGTAGAAAATCGTCAGAGCGTCAAACGTTATTGAGCCTTCTGCAGTCCTTAACCAAAAATAAGATGAACGTTGAGTAATTCCCTTGGGCCCGGCGAGAAACGAATCACTACCCGGAACCAGCGGACGCAAAACACCGCACAGGATGGTTTGCAGTACTGTTGAAAACTGTTGAAGCTTTGCTGAACATAACAGTTAACCGTTTTTATGTAAATACTTCGAAAAAAACCGGTAGTAACTCCGTTTTGAGCAACACATTCTCCGCGAATTAGGGTACGCGGAAGCCGATAAAATCAGATAATATTCTCTGCGAAACTGCATAAAGGTCACTTTTAAGGACGTTAAGAGTGGCATCCGCCGAGGAACCACAGCATCCATATCACCGTCTCGTTTAGTGCTAGCTATAGGTCGTGTGCTGAAAAGGACGCTAAAAAAGTTTACTGCGAAATGCAAACTAATTTTTGTTCATAATAAGGAAAGCGAACACTGAAATGGTGCAATCTACCAGGAAAGATTAATCAAATTTTACGGAAAGAGTTTGCTAACGAGTCGTTAGTAACGACTATGGCAATACTGCATACCGTAACATAAATGTTTGAAAAAAAAACAAGAAAGTAATAATTTTACTGGACCAGGATTAACCGGGCATGTATTTGTTATGCAGTAAATCTGTATTAAAATGCAGTAAACAAAACTGTGGTTTTGATTGGTTCAAACAGACACCACGCAGTCATAAACTAATCTCAGTTCGGCAATTCCTTGTTAGCATCTGCAAACTGCAAAGCGAAAAATTGCGAACTATAGGTAGTGCTGTAAAATCTGCAGATTTCGTAGTTAAGTGACTCAAGTCGAAGTATTGTGGACAAAGGGAAGTCACTCGAGTTACTACCCTCCACGGGAGGCGTTTAGTCTGTGTATGTTGGCCCATACGGCGAACATCAAAATTTTTGAAATGGTGCGTCATATGAGACACGTCTATAAGTCTTCACAGCCGCCATTCCATTGCACGCAGAGCGGTACTGTTAATGGAACTCCCCACCAGTGTAATTGGAACTACCAACTGTGCAGCTGCTAATCTGCAGATTTCACTTCGATTGACCCACAATCCGTCTGGTGAACAATCGGGCCCACTCTGATTTCTCAGCCAACACGATTACTCCGCCACCGTTTCATGTTTTAACCTTGGATTCCCTTCCTTCCCTTTTCCCGTGCCTTTCTTTTATTTTTCCTTAATATCCCATGTTTTTGCTTGTGTTTAAATAACGGGGGGAGAGGCAGCATGGTAGACCGACCTTGAACGGGGCTGGACTGATGTTGCAGCTGTCATAGACTGATTGTCAGCGTGTCTTGGCGTGTTCTGCGATCTTTGCAGTTTGATCTATCGTGTGTTCATGTTGTCTGCAGTTTCAGCGAGGGTTTATTGCGTCTGCCATTGTGCCAGCTGCTTGTTTAACCAGCCATTCCCCCGCTGATTACGAGGTAAGCAACGTTTTTTATCGCTAATCAAATGTTATGAGTTCTTACTGGTTTTATTCGAATACGGTGGAATACCCAAGGAGATCGTGCTCGCAGTGATATTAATTTATCGTTTTCGCAGCTGTTTTTGTGGTATTCCAGCTGTTAGCGATTTTCTTCAAATTTCTCTTCATTCTCTTTTTTTCCTTCATACGAGGTTTTCTTGCGAAGAAATGGAAATTAAAATTTGCTTTAGAACGCATTCGTTAAAAGTTCCCTAGAAAATGATTTTATAATTAATAATATTTATGAATATTATTAATTATTTTTGTTGTTGTTTTATTTTCGATTTTATCATTGATGGGTTTTCGTTTATTGTTTTCTTTTGTTTTTATAAATTTTCATAACAAACGCCCGCAATTTGTGTGAGGAGCTTAATAATCGTTAATTTTATTTTCCAGCATTTTAAGTTAAAATGGTTAAAAATTACTTTTTAACCATTTTTTTCTTTTATGGCAGTCTGAATTTCTGCAGTTATTAATGTCGAGAATCGTGCAGTTTGGAATTTCAGCGAAAATTTGTCGTTTTCTGTGATACATGGATTTGTTAATGATTTCTCTTTCGTTTAAATAAATTTTCAATCGTAAAAAAGTTGCCGTTAACTAGAATTTTTGGAATTCAATAAAAGTCATCTGAGACTTCTGTTTGTTTTGAAGATTGTGTGATTTGCGGATGCGCATGAGTGATTATTCTCGTGCTTTGTCCGCTAATTCTTTATTGGAAAAATTTTGCTGCCTTTTAAAAGAGAACACGATTGTTATTGGTATGAAATTGTTGTTATGCTAAGCAAGCCAAAGAATGGATCGTTCTCCTGAATCGGCATTTTCTAAGTGTGTTTGCGCATATGTTCGCCGTCCGACCGAAGATATTGATGTTGGGAGTGTAAACATGGCAGTGCAATTGGTAATGTGTCAGTCATTTTTTACGGTTATACGTCGGCGATGAAATTGTTCTAAAACAGCCGGGGCTAAAAATATTCCGCAATCTCCGTCAGTTTGGCAATTTACGCTCGCCATTTACCGCCAGATTACTGCACGCTTGGCCCACTTTTCCCCGTGGAATGGCTGTTTTCTATCTGTCGCACGGGTTCGGACGAATTTAATTAAAAAAAATTGGGACAGAAATCGGGTCCGGGAGACTAACATGGATTTTTTCACTCGAAAACTTCCCTTCGTTATTTTTTGCGGGATTTTTGCTAATTATTGCACAGTATTTCTGCCTTTGATTTTTAATTTTTCGCGAAATTTTCTCATAATTTCGGCTTTAAAATTATGTTAATTATTTTTACGTTGTTCTAGAATTTCGAAATCGTTGATTCTGAAATTTGTGTGCTTTCGCAGATTTTTATGCGCAATAAATAATTTGATTGGTGATTTTTGGTTGACTTTTTCGCAGCCATTGATAACGAAATTGTGCAAATATTTCACACATGTCAGTTGGCCGAAAATAAAGCATTTGTACAAAATATTCTTATTGATAATTCCCCTCAGAAATTATTCAGCCGGAAGCTCTTATAAATTTACAGGCGGTAATATTTTGTCATTTGTGAGAAAAATGGAGATTATGTTTAATATTACGCAAGTCATCTGTAAAAATTCTCCTAATCGCTAATACAAATAATCAGTACCATTGAATAATTTATCTCACGTGCTAATGAGCCCGCAGCGATAGCGGGGTTCATGTTTTGAGCGTTTTTCAATGTCGTGAACTGAGTACACACGGTTCTAGTGGGGCTGCTTGGCCTCCGGACGCCCACACAGTAACAGCGCCATACTTCGCACACAGCAGCCGGAAGTGGCAGTGTTGCTGCAGTATTGTGTAGTAGCGATTGCTGATTAATTGAGGCATCGATCGGCGATGACCAGTTCGCTTATCAATGGTGGCCTTTGTGCGGAAGATCTGTGTCGCAGCGCGGCGGTGTCATTCAGGAATTAATCGGTCGTTAATGAGCTATATTCAGCAGTTTTCTATTGATGATCGCTATGTAAATACTGTATTTGAAAAAATACATTAAGCTTAAATTTTCGAAAAACAAGCCTAAATTTTTGGAAATTAAATAAGCATGCTTGATTTTTTGGAGATTAAATAAGCAGGCGTAAAGTTTTGCAACTTTTCGAAGCTTAAATTTTTGAAAATTAAATAAGCATGCTTAATTTCTTAAAACTTTTTGGAAGTTTCTATTTTTTGAAAATTTAATATGACAATTATAATATTATGTATCTGTAGTTTTCTCAAATTAGTATTGAATTTTTTAAAAATATATTTGAACTTTTTGCACTTTGGAACGTTTAATTGGTTTGCAGAGATTTCTCATTGGTGATGTTTATTTGTTTGAAAATTGAATGCGATTTTACATATTTTTGTCAAACACCGGAATTTTCTCGGGCTCATTTTATTGTGCTGTGGAATTCTTCAGCAGCTTGTTAGAATTGTTAAGAAAGTGCACAATTCTGATAGCGATTATAGCGGTGACAAATAGTCTGTTGTGCTTTCTGTGAAGACTGTAAGTTGAACCGGTAATTGGGTATGCTTGAAATGGCGACGTTTTTCCGTTAGGAAACTGGATGGACGTACTTACTGTACTATGTAAGACACGGTCCGTTTGCTGCTTTTTTCCAACTGGTCAATTGCTGCGCGTGTCCGATGATGTTTTTCTCACCAGTGCATCAAGTTGAAAAACGTGTCAGACGGAAGACATGTTTCATATTTTATTTTTACAAGCTGACGGAGGCGGAATCGCAGTAGTATAGCGGTTGTGGGTGAATGGTTTCGATGGGAAATTTTTAAAAAATTGTGTCAATGGAAGCCTTTTAACGGACAAGATAACAAGCGATAAAAAAGATATTTTCAATAAAATACGTTTGTTAAACATTTTTTAAATATTAGATATATATCTTAGATATTAAAAAATATATAAATATAAAATTTGCATGTAAAAATGTGTTTTAGTTTTTTATTTATGCAAAAGTAATTAAGAACGCGTTTGGAAAGGAGATTTTTTTGCGTTAAAAAATTAGTTTTAGTTTAAAATATAAATTTTCTCTCGCTTCGTTATTCATTTTGTTATTGCCAACAGGCAGTTGTTCAGTCAGCGTTTTTTTAAGCAGTACAGCGAGTAGTGTTTTATGGGAGCTTGTTGTTTCCTTGGATAGAGGCCCTCATTAGCATATTTGTCCGGTGTTGAACCTTGACTCACCTTTGTGACTTTGCACAGTTGCATGTTATTATCACCTCTTGTTGACGTTGTGTCTCGACAAAAACGCCGCATTGTTATGCTAAGTCAAGGACTGTAAAGCATTGTGTATCCGGGGAATTTGCGATTTTTTTCTGACTTTTGTGTAAAAAATCTCGTAAAACTTTTAAAACAGGTTGCAAGAATCTGTCGATTTGATGGTAAATCTGGGAAGAATAATCGTTAAATTGGAATTTTTAAATTTTTTTTTCGTTGAAATTTATCGTATTTAAGTAATTTCTTTAAAAACTTTCACGGTCTGTTTTTTTTTGCGTAGCAGATTTAAGTAATTGATCCACTTGATTAGCAGGTTTGTTTTTGAAACGGTTACAGTGGGCGGGTGTGGTTTAAAGATTTACATGAGAGTTTACACAAACTGCGGCCAAGTTGCCGCTGTTGTATAAACCGCACAATACCGATTACGGTTTACATTGCCCATGTTGGTTTTGTTGGCGACAACGGCAGTCTCAGAATGTACGCTTGCAATTAGTTTTTCTTGATTATGTTGAACAAGTGTCCACTCCATCAACACAATTATGTTTGACAGCGCCTAATTAAGGAACATCGCCAGGAAAAAATGCCACACTGATCTACATTCCTTCACCCTTGACGTCATCCGCCAACTGCCGACCGAGCGAAGTTTCCATCGGAATTCACAACTAAATTGGTAACAAAACAATGATCCACGGAATCAAAATGTGGCCGGGAATTTTTTTTGTTGATATTTTTTATAATTTTTACAATATTCGTCGACATTTATAGGCTTTTTTGAAAGATTTTTCTTGATGTTTACAAAGGTACATGCTTTTTTTTATTTATTCAAAATTAATAAATATAAAGATTCACTATGTATTTTCAAACAGTTTCGGTTTAGTTGTCTTGCTCGGCGCTCCGCTTTGAGACATTTCTGCATGTAATGCGGATTGAATTGAAGGTGCATACATGTGATTATATCGTAGTACAACGGCTTTACCGTGAGGTAGCAATCCGGAAGTATGTCTTTGTTATTACGAGAAAAAACCTTGATAGCCGAATTAAAAATTAGAAAGCATTTTGGTATCACTAATTTTTTTATTTATACGAGTACATGACTTGATTCAGTACGACTGAAAAATTTTCCCCTTTGAAAATGCTTTTAAACTTCTGACGTCAGTACTTGTTCTGTGTTCAGACCGTTATATGGTTACTTTTAATGGATTTGCCTATATATGGCAATTTCGCACGATTTGTTTGTTATCGGTTTAATTTATTGTAATTGTGTGGTATTCTTTTTGTAGTATGTTTTTACGTTGGATTAAATAACTATTTAAGTGTGTGCACGAAAAGATTGGTCGACGCGGTTCTGGTTTGTGGTGTTAGAAAGAAACCCGATTAAATTTTCTAGCTGATCATAACGTTTCCATTTATTTATGAATTATTTAGTTGATTATTCGCTCGTTGTAGAAGTATTCAAAATTGCTGGCTAGTGGCTATGCATTTCACAGTGATTTGTCTTCTCTTAATTTGTGTCTATTTAGAAGGTTGACCGCCGTAGCCTCCGACGATGACCTCGGTGGAATCGCCGCAGTCGCTGTCCTTATCGGAGCCCCGCAGTGGCGACGGGAGCGGCCTGAAGACCTCTCCGCCGCGCTTCGAAGCCTACATCATGACGGGCAACGTGATGCTGTCCAAGACCAACGTGGCGCAGGCACCTCCGCCCGGGAAGAAATCCAAGGGCGCGGGCGGCGGCGGACGGATCTATGGCAGCAACAACGTGGTGCTGCGCTCGCCGGTACAGGCGCGCCGATCGCCCGGCGGCGGCGACAAGGAGAACGAGGAGGACGGAGAGATGAAGGGCGAGTACGTGCAGAACGTGTTCGAGTGCTCGGGGCAGGATGTGCACGGGTTCACGCTCAACACCGTGGTGTGCGAGAAGGACGGGGCGTCACCGGAGGTCGCCGTGGAAAGTGCCGGTCAGTGAAGAGATGGCACTTATTTTTGTCATATTTTTTCGATTTTTTTGTAAACGGAAACTATTGGTTGTATTTTCTTATTTTTGTTTGGAAATAGTAGCTGCTTTTGTATTGCTTTATTAATTTATTTGGAAATATAGTTTATTTTTGCACTCTTTTGCCAGTTGTCTGGAAAAAATATAATTTTGGTACCGTTTTACTCGTTTATTTAGGGATGGAAATTTTTCGTGGACTATTTTACCAATTTATTTGGATATAAATTATTTCTTTACTCACTTGTTTAGCCATTTACGTATTGGGAAAAACAGATTATTTCTGGATTTTCACTTCGCAAGAATTTGTCAGTAATTCTGCAGGGTTTCGTAGAAAAGGGGCTTGAACGATAGGGGGCTATAATAATATTTGTCTTGTGTCCGCCCATAAATTGTATAATTTTAAGGACAAAACGTTTAGATGTCCTAGCATAAACCTGCGTGTAATATTTTTAAAACAAATCGCGGTGGAATTCTTCAGTTTTGCTGACACGTCTTTTAAAATTATGAATTACTGATTGTTTCCATTATTACAATTTGAAAGTTATGAATTTTGAAAGGTAGAATGTGCTCGCTCGTACGGTGGATAAACGATTTTTATAGTTCGACACTGCACCATGAAACGGACTGTTTATTTGCGTATTGTGCCGCATCCGGCGGTTCACGCGATGTGTAGACAGGATGCCAGATGGTTTTCTCACGTTCTCACCGCAGTTTCGCTCATGGGAATCCGTTCGTAGCGGCGCACAACTTGTCGCGTTGTATCGTTGTTCTTGTTGTATTCCTGGGCACGTACGCACACACACACCGAGCAGTTTGTGGGTTTGACACAAATTCAGCCGCGGTTTGTAATGTCGTTATCGGCGCGGCCGTGTTTGCATTGCAATAGGCGATGCGTCATTATTCGCATGCCACCGCCGCTCTATTTTTAATCAGCTCCCTAACCCAGCGCTGTTTTTATTTTTGGGTTATTCTTACATCGCGTTGGGGTGTTGTTTTGCAGAAGAAAATAACAGCAAAGATCCCGCTTTTTGCGGGTTATTTTTACTGGAATTTTATTTATATTTTAATTGAAAATTTTGCCGAAATTCTCTGCTTATTATGATGGAAATGGGATTACTGATATTATCGTTCTGGTAAGCTGATGTTTCTGGACAGATTACGCAATTGGAACGCGGTTAAAGCGATTTTCTTTTAAGAATTAAAAATATTATTGTTTTTATTGTAAGTGTTTTTCGTAGTTCGGTTTGTGGGGAATGTTGCCTTATTTGTACTTTTGGTTGAAAATGGATGAATATGATGCTGTATTGTTCGCAGGGTTAAGATCTGCGCTGTGGGTTTTCTGATAGGATGATTAATTCGACAGCTAACCGCTTAGGAACGATGCTGTTTGATTATGACTGGTGTATTGAACACTGTATTCCATCGATTTGTGATGCTAATCTAATAATCACAACCAGTCTGCATCGTTAGAGAAAGTTTGCCGGTTTTCCATGCACTGAAGAGCCGAAAAGTTATGACAATTGAAATCTGCAGCTGGTGTATCGATTTTGAACTTTCATACTGAATTTAAAATCAAACGCGAGTCAGACGGAATGATTTGGATAAACATAAAATCTTTTCTAGAAGAATAATGCAAATTTAGATTATGTTCGCCATTTCTTAGAAATTAATGCGAAACAGAAAAATTTTAGCTGATTATTCGAGTTATAAGGCAGTTCATGGAATTTTTAGATGATACTGTATCGGTGTAGCTTTGTTTGCGTGAAAAAGTATTATTTGTCTGAGAGTTTCCCTGCACTGATTTTTTTCGTCAATACCAGACTGGGTTTTACTGATGTTATTATTATTTTTCTCACTCTGCAGTAGCCAGCTTCTTTCATTGGAGATATCTTACCAGGCTACTGGAAAATTGTTTTGGTTAGCTTAAAAAATAGAGTTGTAATGTTTTGTAGTGAAGTGGCAGTATAGCGGTACGTATAAGACTGGTCGTATTAACTACTGCGGCGTTTCAAACGTAATTTCAGCAATAATAATGCGAGAGAAACCTCTTTTGCTGTGAAGAATAAACTTGGCAGGTTTTATGCTACATATATAGAAATGGAGGGATTAAAATAAATATTCGTATGACAGAAACTGCACGAAATACTGCCCGATAAATCGGAGAATCTCGGAGACGCCGTTCTCTCGTATGAACACTTGGGAAAACCCGGTTGATTTACTTTTCACAGTTCTGGATGGAGTGGACGTGCGGGACAGCGCCAGTAGCGCCACTCCCCCGCCCCCGACACCCCCGCAGACCTTATCCAGCAGTCCCGAGGCCCTGATCCGCGTCCCCACGCCCTCGCAACGCGCCGTGACCCCCGAGTCGTTGGACGACCGCCCCGTGTGGACGATCAACGCTCCCGTGGCCAAGGGCGCCGTGGTGACCAGCATTCCGGCGTCGCCGCGCCGTCTCGGACGGGGATACCGGGAGATTTTGAAGGAGGAGACGATTATTACTGATACGACCATCTCCGAAGTGACCGACACGCAGATCCAGAGTACGTTTATTCAGCCGTCGCCCCGGACGCCGCGGCACGGCGGGGAGCGGAGGCTGGTGGAACGGACCATTGATATTGACGGTAAGAGTTGGTTGGTTAAGTAATTTTATAATTGTAAATTTATTGGATTTGTTAAATAATTCAGTATTTGTTTTTATTATTTAATTTCGGTTTAATTGTTTTACTCGTTTGTTTATCAATTATTTTCCGTACCCTCAAACCGGTAATTCATTTTATGAGGCATTGCGTTTGATCCCAGGGAAATGAATTAGGTTTTACGCGAGTATGCGTTCTTGATGAATTTTAAATTTAATTTTTCGCCGTTTAATTCTTGTTTGTTTATTTGAATTATCGTGATTTAATTTTGTTGAATTAATTGGCGTGTGTAGATTTGGCGTGTACAGATTTTCAGCAGATTTTGTTTTTAGCAAATTGAACTTGCTGCTTTTATCCTTCGTTATTATGACGAAAGTATTTTAATGTTAGTAATGCAACAGATGTCGTAGTGAAATGGCTGAATATGGGCTACTGTAGTCGCCAGCTATTCTAGCGAATACAATCTTGTAAAATGACTGTTGTGAAAATTCCTGCTGCTGTTTTTCTTCCTCTGTAGACTGCTGTGGAAAAATTTTTTTGTTTTGAATCAGCATTTAAACTTGCATTTTAGTATTTTACGATAGCTTCGTTAGTGAATTTATCGCAGATTAATTAATGTTTTGGATTGGTTTGGCCTAGTCAGTTATATTCTCGTGATAAAAATTTCTCCCAATTTTCCCTCTGACTATGCGTTGCTGATATTGACTAGATAAATTGCAGTAAAATCACTGTTGCAAGAAACAATCGAATATCTCTGTAAAAAAATCAATAAACAGCGTTTGGAAAAAATCCAGGCCGACTGACAATTAAATAACATTGCACAGTGGTCGACAGTCCACCCATCGCGGAGCCAGCCCCCGCGGCGGATGATAATATTCCCGTCGAAACCAACGACGAGTTTGTCGACGAATCAGTGCAGATTGAGGTTCCGGTGGACGCCGACGACGTGCAGCTGCAGCCGAGCATGATGCAGTCGGAAGATGTCCCGCCCGCGGTGGACGCGCAGGGCAACTTCGTCCACCCGGAGTCGGCGCGGGCCTGCATGGAGGTGTTCCCGCTGGACGGGATGGGCATTGACCAGGCGCTGCGCGTCTTCCTGTCCCAGGTCAAACTCACCGGCGAGACGCAGGCCCGTCAGCGCGTGGTGGATCTCTTCGCCATGCGCTACGTGGAGTGCAATCCGGAGGCAGTGTATAATCGAGGTCAGTATTGATTCGCGGTGGATAATTTCTGTTTGACTTTGACAATTGATTTTGTGGAAAAAGAGAGCAGCTGATTTTTGAGCGAATTTTTGCGGTTTTTTGCGGCGGGCGCCGTTGCTTTCTGTCCGAAAAAAATCGGTTTACTTATTCACTTGTGTTACTTTAAAAAATAATTAAGATTTTTAAAAAAGGTCGCTTTATTATGTTTTTTCACCTGACAGTATTCAGCTCGTTTAGCTCGTTTGATGGGACGTATCGTAGTAAAATGGCTTAATGCCCATCCCATTAGACCATTTATTTAGCAAATAAAGTCTTATGTACTTACATTACCGTTGGAAATGATCGTGGTTTGAGTTATGGGGATGAGGTTTTATTTTCAACATTTTTTTGACATTTTTAGCGGTTGTGAACGAATATTATTGAAAGTCTGCATAGCGCTTGACACTGGATTTTATTGAAAACTGCACTTCCTTCAGTGAATTCGTTATTCATGCTAGGACAAGCCAGTTTAAGCTTTGTACATTGTTCTTGTTAATGCTGTACTACTACAAAAAATCTTGGTGACGTATTAACTGTTGCGGTGATAAGTGGTGTGGATGGGTGTGCAGACTCGGCGAACGCGGTGGTGAGCGGGATGCTGATCCTCAACAGCGACCTGCACAGCGAGCACCGGCCGGCGCAGTCCATGAACTGCAGCCGCTTCCTGGCCAACATCCGCCAGCTACCGGTCTGTCGCGATGTCCCCGACGACGAACTGCAACGACTGTACTATGCTATGAAAACCAGCCGCTGCCTCTGCCGCCCGGCACCCATTTCCAGGCACCCGGTACGTTGCGGAAATTTTATCATTTTTTTCCTGTTTTCATTAAATAAACAATATTTCATCAATATAATAAAATACTTCATTGGTATAATTAATGTTAACCGTAATAGAAATAAATAATAATTTAAAAATTTCACGAAGAAAATAGCGCTGCATATTTTCTGAAATTATAACGCTGCATATTATCTGGTTGCGTGCTGAAGAAAATGGAAAAGAAAACAGGAAAATCATAAACAGGATAAAAAATCGAAATTCATGATTTTGCTAATCGATTTTCCCGGCTGAATCAGTTTTTTTCTGTGTGTAGAGCGAAATGGGCACACAGCGGCGGAAGCGGCGCCGGTGATCGCCTACGAAGGCCTCCTGTACCGGAAGTCCTGCTACGAGCCCGGCGGGAAGGCCACGCGCTTCGGGAAACGGGGCTGGAGCAAATTCTACGTTGTCATCAATGATCTGTCGCTGGAATTCTTCAAGGTAATACCTCCAGTAATTTTTCTAACATCGTTATGTAATGATTTTACAGTAGTTAATCTTTTTTTGTTATTCATTGATTTTTATTCTTCAAATTGATTTCGTGAACGCTGGTCCTTACTTGCTGACTGTACCGTCGAGCCTGTGTAAACGAGCGCTTGTGAGGTAGGTTAAAACTTTTGCTAATTTACAGCGGATGAAATTTAGGGTTTTTGACGTTCTGCGTTGGCGCTGCTGGTTACACCCTGCCAACCATCACTGCGTGTCTGTTTTGTTAACGATTATTGTACAGGGTAAAAAAGGAAATGGTACTCTAGAAAACCGCTATCGTGTGTTACGTGAAGATTGCGTGGTTGGCTGCTCCAGTTCCGGGTCTTGTAGCCATTACACTACGAAATCACGATGATTTAAAGACTAATTTGAAAACCGCAATGGGAATTTTCGAAGAATTGCAGAAAAATCGAGAACCAGTGTGAAAGTCTTGCATATTTTCGTACATTTTCAAATATGATGATGAAGTGCGATTAAAATTAAGCAAATACGCCGTTTGTAGAAGCAGGGCGCCGAATCGCCGGTCCTCCGCGTTCCCCTGCACCACGGGTACGCCCTCCCCGCCACGGACTACCGGAAGCGGCGCAACGTGCTGCGGCTGTACGGCGTGGACCAGTCGGTGTGTCTGCTGCAGGCGGCCAACGAGCCGGAGCTGCAGCGCTGGCTGGACGCCGTCAACCGCACCGCCGCCGTCTTCTCCGCCCCCGTGGCCCTCCCCGTCGGCTCGCAGACCCTGGCGCACCACACACGCCGCATGAGCACCATGCGCCCACTCTATCCCACCGGCAAGAGCCTCCTCTCTGTTGTAAGTCCAATTATGGCTTTTTTTTGTCAAAATTACCCTTCAGAAATGACGGCGTATGTGTGATTTTTATTGTTGTTAGTTTTCTGATAAAAATTTGAAATTTTGTTAAAGATGAGGAGTTTCGGCTGATGTTTTATATTTTATTAATAAGAATTCTCTAACAAAAACTGTAGAGATTTTCAAGGTGGATTGCTCTAGGGGGTTGATGATTTAGAAAAAATTGTTCGTTCAAGCGAATTCGTTTTTATTCTCCAATATTCGGAATAATATTTCAGATTTTGGAGGTCAGAATATCTGATTATGCCGCTTCACTACGCAGTCACCCATGATAATAATATTATTCTTGCCGCTTGCGGTGTTGGGTAACACACAGCTCTGCGATCTGCACAAATTGTACGGCATACAAGAATACCGAGGAAATGCTAGCAAAATTGCTTGCGTAAAGCTCGTTGTGTTGAATGTACATATTCGGCTTTTTTGCAATTTGCGGTACATAGAATTATTGGGTTTTATCAGTTATTATATTTTTTCGGCTTTTACAGCGCTGGTTTCTGTTATTTAATGGATAAATATGAATTGCTATGGCTGACTCAGCTGGTTTAGTCGATGGATTCGTTTTCTCGCGTTTACGAAATTAATGCGGTTTTTATCTTGATATTTGTGTGTGTTTGTGCAGGATGAGCAGATTGAGGAGCTGCGGAAGTGTGATGAGCGGCTGCTGCGCGAAGTGGAGGCGCTGAATGTGCGCCAGCCGGAGAGCAGCTCCGAGGCCATCGCCATGTCCGAACAGCTCACCCACTACCAGCGCGAGGTACGCAGTAAATTTTTTAGGCCCAGTAAATTTTTTAAAAAATTGTCAATTTGAAAAGCGCAACTTTGCAATGTGAAATCTCTATTTCGATAAGAATTTTGTCATTTGTTTTGCTTTGTTAATGCGTCATAACTCACTCATACACATGAGAATCGTCAAAATAAAGATGTTGACCAGCCATTGCACTACGCATAGTGCACGCGCAGTTCCAGTATGCTCGATTACGTATTATAATTAAGAATATTTGGAATACTAAGATATTGATTTAAAATATTAATTAAGAATATTAATAACTAAGTAAGTTCAATTATTTTATTTTGAAAAATTTCAGCTAATTTTTAATTCACTTTAGATCGAATTGCTTTGTTAGTCTAATATAATTGCTTTATCGCCCTGATTTCTTTGCAGCTGCAGCGGAACAAAATCTACCAAGATATCCTGTTGAGTATGACGTGAATCGACGGATGTTTCTTTCAGTTTCGGTAAGCGCCATTTTCGCTGTAATTTATTCGCTTACGGCATTTAATTTAATTAATAATTTTTTTTATCAGCATTTAATAATTTTATTCACCAGAAATTTATTTTCTGATAAATTTCCGTTTGCAGGTGTCTGCTTGCCGGAAACAAAGTGCATACTGTACAACTCCTCTCATATAGTCGGGCGTCTTCCCAGTCATGTTTTTTCTTCTTGGCTCTCACTTCCGGAATCATTATTTTTTCAGCGTTTCTTTTTTTTTGTATTGTTTTGGATTATTTTGCGTTATTTTTGAGGATGTGTGCCAATTGTCGGTATCTTGTCGTTATGTTTGTGATTGGAATGGCAGAAGAAGGGCGGAGAAATGAGGTTTTTTGTTTTTATCTCTTTATCGATGAAGCTTTTCCCTTATTTTTTCTGTTGCTGCGCGTTACGGTGGTTAGTTTGTTGGTGTGATTGTGCTGCTGTAGTCAGAATGGAAATAGAATGCAACGGCGCGTGCGCTTGTTTTTTTGATTGCTCAGATGTGCTTTTTTTTGGCTGGCAAAAACGATACACTGTTCCTTTTATTATTATGTCAATTATGATTATGTCAATATTGAAAAGTGCATTCGTTGAGGATAAGGAAAGCAAATGAATGAACACGTATTTCGTTGATTTGAATTTCGGATTTACATAATAATATGTGCCGCATTCAAATGCTCTGGTACAACTTATTAAAAGTTATTCAGTAAGTCCCGGTACGTATTTCAGTAATTATGTTTATGCAATTGTCAGCGAAAACGGAGTGTTTGACCTACCCATGATACTTATACGGAAAATGGCCCGGTACAAAGCGTCCAAAATGGTATACACACATTAAAACTTTCCCTTGCGCGCACTCCGAATCACTTTTTTGTAATACTTTTTGTAATACATCTGAGCAATCAAAAAAACAAGCGCACGCGCCGTTGCATTCTATTTCCATTCTGACTACAGCGGCACAATCACACCAACAAACTAACCACCGTAACGTTATTCTAAAGCAAATAATTTGTTTACATTGTTCTGAAAACCGTTTGCGCGCGCAACATCCGGTTGCTGACATATGGTGAAACAAAATGGGGAAAAAGTTTAAATGCATTGTCGTGTACCAAAAGTCTGGTTATCACCCGATCTTCTTGAAACTTTGCTATAAAAGACGCATTGCCGTAAAGTCTAAACTGAACAAATATCAGATTCACAGCATTTTTTTCCAATTTTAAAATGAATTTCAAAAATTTTAAAATTCGTTTTAAAAATATGGGGAAGTGCTATAAACCTGAAATTGGTTCACTTTCGATCTTATGGTGATGTGTCTTTTATAGCAAAGTTTCAAGAAGATCGGGTAATAACCAGACTTTTGGTACACGACAATGCATTTAAACTTTTTGCCCATTTTGTTTCACCATAACTCGGCAACCGGATGTTGCGCGCGCAAACGGTTTTCAGAACAATGTAGGCAAATCATTCAGCTTTAGAATGACATAAAGTATTACAAAAAAGTGATTCGGAGTGCGCGCAAGCGAAAGTTTTAGGCTTTAGCTGTATGTATACCATTTTGCAGGGACGCTATGCACCGTGCCGATTTCCTTATAAGAATGCATCGTTTTAAAGCAAGAGCTGTAAAAAATGTTCAAGATTCTTTAGGATTCATGTTTAATTTGTATTTACCGTAGTTCGATGGAAACAAATAAGAAAAACCCCATTTTTTACCTATCATCAACCACTGTACTGCAGTTACTAACAAATGTACGAACCGTGGACGTACAGATACATCCTTAATATAGATTAAAAGAGGCGGCATCGATTTAAGCGGCTCTTGTAGCGTTATTAGAAAATCTTCGAGAATAACAAGTGCATGGGTGCAATAACAACATCGCTTTCAATAATAATATGAACTTTCATCGAACGTACTAGTCACAAGCGTATTTTTAAAAAAAAAAGGTTAAGCCTGACTTTTTTATGTTTATTTATTCCGCTGCATCGAGCCAGAAACAAATGAAAATATAACATTTGGGCTGTGGAACCTAGAAGGAAACCTGGTTGTTTCCGGATTTTGACGGATCACAATTCTCGGTTAAGAAGATGTACAGTTTTCAACGCATTTAATGATTAATCACGTGGAATACAAGTTTCGAACAAAAAATCCGCACACAGCAAATCTACCAATCCTGAAAACTTGACAAACGAGATGAGCAGAAGTCTAAAAGAAAGAGCCTCCACATGTCACACAAACTAGGTCACTGGTTAGCGGTCGAAACGCAATGCGTTGAATTAATAACCCCAGATCACATCGTGCGCAACAAGCAGAAAGTCCAACTCCAAACCTCCACGTCCCATTCGCCAGTACACAGAGCTCGGAAGATTCACCAGCCAGGAGATTCGCGAAGATGGCCACAGACAGTTGAATGAAATGAGCGAAGAAGCGATGAAAATGGTAGGGTCCACCAGGGTTCCAGAGTCCATATCCACGGTTCCCACCCCCACCAGACACGAAGAAAGTCCACACGGAACGCCAAAGCACTGCACTAGCTAGGTCACTGGTTAATGGTCGAAACGCAGAGCGTTGAATTACTAACCCCAGATCACATCGAGCACAGCGCCCAGAAATCCCCCGCAGTCCGCCCCCGAGGCCAGCTAGGTTCTCCCCGCGGCCACAACTCCAGACCCCGCAGTGCTCCATATAACCGACAGGGAAGCAGGGCGACATCAGATCAACAGTTATGAGTAAGAGCAGTAAGGAGTATCAAGGAATGGAGAAATGTGCTGGAAGACAGTAAATGAGGCGCTCCAGTAACGATGAGCTCGTGGCGAACAATTCCGTGAGATGGTTTGTCCCTGCCAATCTGGTTTGAACCAGAAATGGCAGGGCTACAAATTTGCTCGAAAAGGCTTAACCAAAAATTAAGTGAATCGCAAGAAAAAAACAAGATCTCTAGACAAGTCTGTCTAGAGAAAAAAGATGTACAGTTGCTTGATCACCTGGTGAGCGGCTGCGCAATCCGTTCACACGTCTACTGGGTCTGGATCCGGCTTGTTTCGAAGCCAACATATCCAATTAGTCCAACCAATTAGTTCGAAGCCAACATATCCAAAGCGGGCGATATCTGTCGGCAGAGGAAGATGATACAGCACAAGGTTGGGGCAGGTCGGCTCAAAAATACTAGTTCCTGGTAGTTTGGCCACGCATGGAGCGTAGTCCAGATGGAACCAAGCCAGTATTCCCTTAAAAAATCATAGGGGATTAAAAATCTTCAAGAACACGGGGCTGTTATGCCGTAACGTTTACATTTAAACAATTTGAAAGATATATTTTTCGCAGTACCTTTTTAATAAATTTAGGGAACCATTCCACCAATTTCTGTGTTCCGCTCCCGCAAGGCAACCCGCGCCAACATTTTGACAACAAAAATCGTGGAAATACGTAAGCCGGCCAGGATAACTGATGCTGCTGAGAAAACGGTTACAGTTATGTAGTATACATTATTATCTGTGTTATCCTGCTTATCGTCATCTGGCTTATAATCCGGGAGCTGCAAAGTTCCGTTTAGATTGTTAAGCGAAGTGGTGTTATCCATCGCAGCTTTTAAGTAAACCGTAAACTAGATTCCGCCGTAGAAGGAGCCAGACTGACTCGGTAATATGATTGTATTGACGACTGTACTAAAGCGCTCACACAGAAAGTGCACAAAGAGGGCTGCTTATTCAGCGAACCTCACAGCCAACACGACGCGCTGTGGTATTGCTCAAATAAAGGAAAGGTCATGAACAGGAACGCACACAACGTCCATAAGGCTGCCTTAATTAATTTAACACATTATTAAATTTTAAGATCGTCACGTATTAGGACAAGGAATCTCAATTAATTTTCAACTCGAAAAATCAACCGCAGCCATACACAATACCTGCTAGTAGTTTGCTTACCAACAGCGTGGTTAGCTGTTAGTTACAAACCCGTGCATGGCAAGTCGAACGCTTCAGTACTCACTCGGTCCTCTTATTCTCGATTTCGTAATTTTTATAAGTGCATACCGTATGCACTTATAAAAATGCAGCATACGTACATAAAAATATTCCGATGTGTCTAGAAGCATGAGAGACCGTAGAAACAAAGATTAACCGTTCAAACTCTTAACTAAGACGGCACTCATCAAGAACTGTACTGGTTGTGGCCATAATGCTGTACATACATATGTGCAGTATTTCCGCTCCTCCCTACAGTTATTTGTCTTTTTAATGCCGGGTAAGCTCAGCCATCGAACTCTATCCGAGGTGTTTGCAGTCAAATTTAACTTTAGCAACCAAACTCGAAATTGACTAGATTCAGAATCGGTGGGGAGCCGGAATTGCTGCAGTAGCTGATAAATGTAAAAAAAACACTTAGCGCATAATGGTTACAACCACCTTTCCGAACCGCATAAAAGTATCCTCTCATCAGGGCACATTTCACGGGTATCAGTTCAGCAAATTCTGATTTTCTACAAAAGTGTGGACTACCTATGTAGTTTGTTTTGAAACAGCTTCGTGTGATATGTGTCACGATTTACTGGGCCAAACAAAAATAAGAATGTACCATGTACTGCAGTACTGTACAATATTAGTATGCAGTGGAAAGGATTGCTGCAATTCTGTTACAGTCTATTTTTGAAATCTTAATTTTTTCTTCTACGGGCGCATTGCACTTTAACCGAGGACCGTTCCTAATTGTCCGGCATCGAAGTAATTTGCAGCAGGTGTCCGTTTGGCCCATGCCACTGCCAGATTATAAATTTTCGAAAATTCGCTACTGACTAGTTCGAAAACAATGCACGTTTGAGCTTTGCAGGCAAGCTAAATATTGTGAGGCGCGAGGGCCGTTTGACTCAATGGCAGGCACTTGCCATTGAAGTACTTACGCACCTCTTGTACATACCGAAAACCTAAGAAACTTGCGGAATATCCGAATTTTCTGAATTTACACAATACACCCTATGTGTAAATGTAAAAGCAAACGTGGTAAAGAATGCCCAAGTAGCATCTACGAGAAATCTTTACTGGATCAATCTGAAAGAGCTTGTATATACTGGCTGGCCCATAGGCGCTCGGAGCAGTGATCGATGTGCAATATCAAAAATCAGCGGTGAAGTGGTACTTGCTCTTCAGATAATTTGACCAAGTTTCCGGCGTTTACCGCAGTAACAACACATGTACTCTGTACAGTATTAATGGCAGCAGCACTAGCCGTCCCATAGTGTTTCTTCCGGACAGCCATGACCGTCACAGCCTCACAGGTATTGCTGTAGAAGCTTGTTTAAATCGTCTTGTGTTTGCATCACTGTTCAATCCATTGCGCCCAGAAACCGAGTGTTTCAGCACTGTCCGCCACGTCAGCGCCAAGTAGCATCGTATTGCCAGACGGGTCTGGGGATCGTAGCAGCTGGTACTTACCGTGCGAGCAAGGTCTGGCTCACTTAAGGAAGGGAATTTTCTGGTCAAAACAGGAAAGTTATTTTCGCGCTCGAAAAACTCGTAAAAAGGAGTATTGGCATTTCCGCTTGATGATTTATATGGTCGAAAGACGGATGCTCTGCTATACACTCAATGTGCAATATATACTCGACAATACAGAACGTATAAGTGCTTACTTGTTAATGTTG